TTATTAATGATTTAGGCCTATATTTCGCTGTTTAGAAATTACATAATAAAATTGTGCTATTCTAACATAACCTAACCTAACCATACCTCTAGAATGTAAGCAAACTCCTTTTGATGTCAGAAAAGGCATGTCAGGGTGATAGGTCGTGCTTTCTGTGAATTGGTGACTGCATTAAGTCCTTTGAAGGTAGGTTAGATTAGGTAAGTTAAAGTTTAGGTCATAATGTATCAAGTTGTTAGTTTATGACGCCTGCAGACTGTTTTTGTAAAATTAAAATCCAGAAATGCGCATTTTTGATATCGTTATTTCATTGTGTTTCAACCACTATTTTAATTGTGCAAAAACAGTCTGGAAGTAGCATAAATTAATGAGTCGGTTCATTATAACCTAACCTTTACCTTCCTAATCTAACCTCACTTCAAAACACTTAATACAGTCACGAATCCGCATAAAACCCAACCTACCTTCCTCACATGCCTAAATAAGAACTGATTATCTCTGGTTTCAAAACGAATTGATTTCATTCCGCATTAAGTCGAATACAAACAGCTGTTTGCTCTCCTCCAGTGTTGCCAACCAACCTCTTTGATTTTCCCCGCACGAAACGACGGAAATCCTCGATTTTCCTCGCAAGGATTCTAAAATTACTCGCAAAATCCTCGTTAGCATCAAAGATTAAACGTTTCCAAATTTTCTTTTTTTACTAGAGGTGCAAATAACCGAACATACATGGATAACCTATTGTACTTGAAAAATTATGGGTTTTGGTAAATAGTACGAGTGTGGTCTAGCCATATACCAACCAACACAATGGAATTATAATCTATGATTTAACGCATGCATTATAATCAATGGCAAAAGTAGGTTTTCCATCCCTGAACCCTGATCCTTTGTCCAATCTGAATAAGTACTTGTAAGTTAGTTCATCTTGGTTGATTTGTGGGTGTGCTTATGACAACGTCAAAATTCTTTAACAAATCATAAACTATTTTTTATTTTTTTAGCGAATTTCCCATATAGGGAATAAGCTATTACCGTAGTACTCATGGTAAGACCTGGACGCGGGACCGATTTTTTTTTTCGTTTTGAGGTCCCTAGAGGCCAAAAACACCATCCGTTCAAATTCATTTATATATATATATTTATATGTTTATATATTTATATATATATATTTATATATATATATATATATTTATATATATATATATATTTATATATATATATATATATATATATGTGTGTGTCCGTTAGCACGATAACTCGAGCAAAAATGATCCGATTTTGATGAAATTTGGTACAAACGTGTAAACCTACGTTTATTCGAACGAGTTCACGATCCAGCTTGATCGGACCATGGGAACGGGGGTTTACGGGGGGTTTTATGGGGTAAAAATAGGTTTTTCCCATTTTTGACCAAAAAAACATAAAATTTAGCAATTTCTTTCCAAACCAATTTGTAGAGCTTGAAAAAACAAATAATTTAGTATATTGAAGCGTTATTATGCGCCTAATGGTTACGGAGAAAATTCCAAAAAATTGTAAATTTAAAATTCCCATGTTATTCTTATGGAGAATAAGTAAACTGTTGTAGTTTGCTTGTTTATGAACATATTTTGATCAAATTTGGAAATTGTTTTTATTTCTTACTAACTATTAACATTTACAAAAAAAAAGTTTTACCCTCCCTGATGCAGCAAACCTAAGTACTTGTTAAACTAATTCTATTTAAATAGGGAATAAATGTTATATTTTTAAGTAGACATTTCAGTGTAAATCCAATCAGTCAGATGGAATTCGCTTCGTCTACAGGTTTGCTGCGGCGGGGGTATTTTTTATTTTAGGGTATAATAATTCACTTAAGGTTGTATTAAATCACGGCCACCTGAATAAGAAATAAAACCTGTGTTTATACAGTACATGAAAAAAATACATTATAAATTACGGTATATAATACTTATAACCTTCATTAATTTTAAAAGAATGAACTAAAATTTAAAATTACATTATAAATCATTCAGATGGGGACGCCACCTAGGTACGTATTTTTACACAAATTTGAGTGAAAGATGAGTGTAGAATGGTGTGAGATGATCTGTGTAACTTTGTTACTGACTAAGATAAGCTATTTCATCAGACAGGATAATTGATTTAAAGTCCAATCATCATGAACAGCTGAGTAATAAATCATAATTTGTTAGGTTTTAATAATTTCACTACGTAGGCCTAATTGAAAGAAAATTTGAACTGAAGGCAACCAACAAACGACAAGTTTCTACTTGGGTAGTTTGTTGTTAAACACACATCGGTCCCAGTCATATCCTCATAACAATAGTTCAATTTGAATTCACATTCGCTTCTTGATTACAGGCTTATAGAACGCAGCTCATCTGAGTTGACATGACAGCAACAGCTGGAGCTGAGCATAGAATTACTTCATTTCAATCACTTCACTTCACCTCAGTCCAGTTTCCAGTTCGGCAGTTAGTTCTAAGTTCACCCTCATTTCATCGTCTTCTTCTTCATCTACTTGTTCTTAGATCTTGATTGGTTGATTCATTGACTTTTTTCAGTTGCAGAAACTGTTCTTTCAATGCTTAGATTCAGAGAGATTTTCAATATATTCTTAAAGAGACCCAGGCACTGAGAATACTCGATTATCAGAAAAATCCTAGTTGCTTTACCTGAAAATCCTCGAAAATACTCGCAAAATCTGAATCCTCGCAGGGTCTGGAAATCCTCGAAAAACGAGGAATTTGGCTGCACTTTACTTGACGTCCTACACTAATTCGATTGTTTTTTTCGATTCGATATTTTCATTCGATTGTTTCATTCGATATATCGTTTGGTTAGTTAGGTTAGGTTAACCTTACCTAACTAACCAAACGATATATCGAATGAAGCAATCGATTAATCGATATATCGATCGATATTTTCATTCGAATGAGTGTAGGACGTCAAGTAAAGTGCAGCCAGGATTTTCCCTGCAATTGGCAACACTGCTCTCCTCCTCACTCAGTACTCAGTCCACATACGGACCCGTCCAGACCACGCCATATTGCCATCAGTATACCTCAATTAACCTTAGATTCGTAATGTTGACCTTCGTTTTACGATCATTTAGGAATCTCTCCGACAAAAACTGATTGCATTTTTGGATTTAGCGTGAAAAATACTGTAAGTACACATCAAAAAAGTACATAGCCTAATATCACGTTGTTGATATTTCAAATATTTGCCGAAAAGATTACCTATTGACTACAGAATCACTTGAAATGTTATCCATCCTACCTTGTTTATTGTAATGTTGTATGTTTTTACGGCGATATCTTGAGAAATATTCATCAGCGGTGAAAAACCTATACGGAATAAATACCGCGAGTTTTTCAGGGCTGGTGTCTAGTAATCTCTAGGTGTGGTGTCTACAGGAAGTCTCGGTGACAAAAGTCATTTGAGAAAGTTGTAAGTTAGTGTTGGTGTCTAGGAACAGTTTAGAAACGTACTCTTAAAAGAAGTTTTAGGTGAGTTGGCAAAAGTGAAAAATAACCCTGAAAGCGTAATATTGAACAATTTGAATTGAAATCAATACATTAAACGATAATATAGGCCTATCACAGGATCTCTGTGGAACTGTAGCCGATAAGATAACATGTACGGTACAACCTTACTCTACAATTTGCAAACATGTATACTATATTATTGGTTAGTAGGAAAAAACATAAATTTGACAATATTACACGATTTGGAAATTGTTTAGATGGGGGTGACCAAGCGTTCTATAGTAAGTTATATATCATTGGAAACTAGATTTTTACCTGAAAATAATGGTGCAAAAATTTTTCTGCTGCCACAAAAACTGAATTTACTACAATTTTTTAAAGTTTATTACTGTAATGCATCTTGTCGGCTGGTCTCTGTCGCCATAACTTTACTGTGAATTGACAAAGAGGACAAGGAGGTAGAGGCATTTATAAATTCAACTGAGCGTTGATTATGAACTACTTCAGTTCTTATTTAGACATGTGAGGTGGGTAGGTTGGGTGTTATGTGGACTCGTGACTGTATTAAGTGTTTTGAAGTTAGGTTAGATTAGGAAGGTAAAGTTTAGGTTATAATGAATCGAGTTGTTGATTTATATTATCTCCAGACTGTTTATGCACTTTGTTAAAAGTACTAATTTATTGTGTTTGTAGTACTTTTTACAAAGTGCATAAACAGTCTGGAGATAATATAAATCAACAACTCGATTCATTATAACCTAAACTTTAACTTCCCTAATCTAACCTACCTTCAAAGGACTTAATACAGTCACGAGTCCACATAACATCCAACCTACCAACCTCACATGTCTTTTTCAACTTATAAACAAATTTTAAACTGTACGAGAAGTTTGGTTAGGTTAGGTTAGGTTAGAATAGTGTCAATTTGTTGTTTATTCATTTTATTAAAACTGCCACTACACTAAATACTTATGGGACATAACGGTTAATGGTCAAAACCTAAGCTAAGCCATTCGGTTAATTAAGTGAAGAGAAGAACTAAATGAATTCCTTCTTCAATGTTCATAATCCAGTCCCCAGATCCAGATTAAATATGTCCGAACTAGAGGTGTTTATTAATGTTAATTAATTTTAATCAAATAATACATAAGTTATAGCCTACTTAAATTAACATAATTACCTTTCTAAGTGTGGGTTGTGAGGGTTATATTTATATTAAAATGGCATATAATCAATCAATAAAAATGTGAATTGTGCTATTAACTTCAATTATACAGTGTAAACATTGTAGTGCAGATTCAATGTTCCTAATATAAGTCATTAAAATAAACTTCAAAAAATCGTAGTAAATTCAGTTTTTGTGGCAGCAGAAAAACTTTTGCACCATTATTTTCAGGTAAAAATCTAGTTTCTAATGATATATAACTTACTATAGAACGCTTGGTCACCCTCATCTAAATAATTACCCACGATTTTACCTAGCGTACTAAAAGGCACACAAACCTTAAAGCCACATTGTCTAGCCAAATCTTTCTTCTAAGATCTTCACTTAACTTGTTATATTGCTGTCTGTACTCTGACTTTTTATGCAGCATATTGTTTAGCGTTTTAGCGAATAGCGTACTTATAAAAATACTTTTCGTTGTTATAAGAACAGCATAGATAACAGAACGTAAACTCTTTCTGTAATGTTTTTGTTACATGTTTAACGTTTACAATAATAAACAAACAAATTTGAGTTAACAACTGAATGTTCCACAGCACAGCACACAGCAGACAGACACCTACGATACGATGTACGAGAAAGGTAAGAGCACAGACAAGGGAAACAAACTTTTATTTCCTTAGTCAATGGTACGATCATTGACTTTATTTATTATATCTACACTGGTGTAGATATAAAAGTCAATGGTAGGCTACGAGGCAATATTTTGATTTCCTTTTTTCTGCCCTTCTGCTAGCTAGCAAGCTAGCACTCTTCTTGCACCGTCGTGAAGTTAGCGGCTCTTTTCATCGGCGCTTTTTCGGTTTGTAATAGATGTGGGTTGGTACTCCTGCGGACGCCACAAACGTGTTTTGCAGGGATGTCGGAAACACAATTCAATGACAATACGGTGCGAAATGATGTTTTTATATTTATATAATGTCAATTATACATTGATAAAACGTGTATACAAGTTAAAACTAATTAATTGACGTATTTCAAAAGGCATATTTGAGACCGTACTGTACATTATACGTAGCTATGGCTTAACATATTGCGATCAATTAAAACTCCGAACATAAAAAGTGCATAATCTTTTTTCCCAAGCCCATCACATCAACTTTGAGCTATTCTAATGGTAATATACAATGTGTAGAATACTCAGTATAAATATGATTGCGGCAGTCCAGTAAATTACGAAGTTATATGGCAAAATGTAAATGGTTGATAGTAACTCGTATCAGGAAAAAGTGCACAATCTTTTTCCTAAGCCCATCACATCAACTTTGAGGTATTCTAATGGTAATGTACAATGTGTAGAATACTCAGTATAAATATGATTGAGGCAGTCCAGTAAATTACGAAGTTATATGGCAAAATGTATATGGTTGATAGGAACTCGCATCAGGAAAAGTGCACAATCTTTTTCCTGAGCCCATCACATCAACTTTGAGGTATTCTAATGGTAATATACAATGTGTAGAATACTCAGTATAAATATGATTGCGGCAGTCCAGTGAATTACGAAGTTATATGGCAAAATGTATATGGTTGATAGGAACTCGCATCAGGAAAAGTGCACAATCTTTTTCCTAAGCCCATCACATCAACTTTGAGGTATTCTAATGGTAATGTACAATGTGTAGAATAATCAGTATGAGTATAATTGCGGCAGTCCAGTAAATTACGAAGTTATATGGCAAAATGTATATGGTTGATAGGAACTCGCATCAGGAAAAGTGCACAATCTTTTTGCTGAGCCCATCACATCAACTTTGAGGTATTCTAATGGTAATATACAATGTTTAGAATAATCAGTATGAGTATGATTGCGGCAGTCCAGTGAATTACGAAGTTATATGGCAAAATGTATATGGTTGATAGGAACTCGCATCAGGAAAAGTGCACAATCTTTTTCCTAAGCCCATCACATCAACTTTGAGGTATTCTAATGCTAATATACAATTTATAGAATAATCAGTATGAGTATGATTGCGGCAGTCCAGTGAATTACGAAGCTATAAGGCAAAATCTATATGGTTGATAGGAATTTGCGTCAGGAAAAGTGCACAATCTTTTTCCTAAGCCCATCACATCAATTTTGAGGTATTCTAATGGTAATATACAATGTTTAGAATAATCAGTATGAGTATGATTGCGGCAGTCCAGTGAATTACGAAGTTATATGGCAAAATGTATATGGTTGATAGGAACTCGCATCAGGAAAAGTGCACAATCTTTTTCCTAAGCCTATCACATCAACTTTGAGGTATTCTAATGCTAATATACAATTTATAGAATAATCAGTATGAGTATGATTGCGGCAGTCCAGTGAATTACGAAGCTATAAGGCAAAATCTATATGGTTGATAGGAATTTGCGTCAGGAAAAGTGCACAATCTTTTTCCTAAGCCCATCACATCAATTTTGAGGTATTCTAATGGTAATATACAATGTTTAGAATAATCAGTATGAGTATGATTGCGGCAGTCCAGTGAATTACGAAGTTATATGGCAAAATCTATATGGTTGATAGGAATTTGCGTCAGGAAAAGTGCACAATCTTTTTCCTAAGCCCATCACATCAACTTTGAGGTATTCTAATGGTAATATACAATGTGTAGAATAATCAGTATGAGTATGATTGCGGCAGTCCAGTAAATTACGAAGTTATATGGCAAAATGTATATGGTTGATAGGAACTTGCATAAGGAAAAGTGCACAATCTTTTTCCTGAGCCCATCACATCAACTTTGAGGTATTCTAATGGTAATATACAATGTGTAGAATACTCAGTATAAATATGATTGCGGCAGTCCAGTGAATAACGAAGTTATATGGCAAAATGTATATGGTTGATAGGAACTCGCATCAGGAAAAGTGCACAATCTTTTTCCTAAGCCCATCACATCAACTTTGAGTTATTCTAATGGTAATATACAATGTGTAGAACACTCAGTATAAATATGATTGAGGGAGTCCAGTAAATTACGAAGTTATATGGCAAAATGTATATGGTTGATAGGAACTCCCATCAGGAAAAGTGCACAATCTTTTTCCTAAGCCCATCACATCAACTTTGAGGTATTCTAATGGTAATATACAATGTGTAGAATAATCAGTATGAGTATGATTGCGGCAGTTCTTTAAATTACGAAGTTATATGGCAAAATGTATATGGTTGATAGGAACTCGCATCAGGAAAAGTGCACAATCTTTTTCCTGAGCCCATCACATCAACTTTGAGGTATTCTAATGGTAATATACAATGTGTAGAATACTCAGGGTAAATATGATTGCGGCAGTCCAGTGAATTACGAAGCTATAAGGCAAAATCTATATGGTTTATAGGAATTTGCGTCAGGAAAAGTTTCGGTTTGTAATAGATGTGGGTTGGTACGCCTGCGGACGCCACAAACGTGTTTTGCAGGGATGTCGGAAACACAATTCAATGACAATACGGTGCGAAATGATGTTTTTATATTTATATAATGTCAATTATACATTGATAAAACGTGTATACAAGTTAAAACTAATTAATTGACGTATTTCAAAAGGCATATTTGAGACCGTACTGTACATTATACGTAGCTATGGCTTAACATAACGCGATCAATTAAAACTCCGAACATAAAAAGTGCATAATCTTTTTTCCCAAGCCCATCACATCAACTTTGAGCTATTCTAATGGTAATATACAATGTGTAGAATACTCAGTATAAATATGATTGAGGCAGTCCAGTGAATTACGAAGCTATAAGGCAAAATGTAAATGGTTGATAGTAACTCGTATCAGGAAAAAGTGCACAATCTTTTTCCTAAGCCCATCACATCAACTTTGAGGTATTCTAATGGTAATGTACAATGTGTAGAATACTCAGTATAAATATGATTGAGGCAGTCCCCTAAATTACGAAGTTATATGGCAAAATGTATATGGTTGATAGGAACTTGCATCAGGAAAAAGTGCACAATGTTGACCCTAAGCCCATCACATCAAATTCGATGTATTCTAATGGTAATATACAATGTGTAGAATACTCAGTATAAATATGATTGAGGCAGTCCAGTGATTTACGAAGCTATAAGGCAAAGTGTATATGGTTGAGTTCCTATCAACCATATACATTTTGCCATATAACTTCGTAATTTACTGGACTGCCGCAATCATACTCATACTGATTATTCTACACATTGTATATTACCATTAGAATACCTCAAAGTTGATGTGATGGGCTTAGGAAAAAGATTGTGCACTTTTCCTGACGCAAATTCCTATCAACCATATAGATTTTGCCATATAACTTCGTAATTCACTGGACTGCCGCAATCATACTCATACTGATTATTCTAAACATTGTATATTACCATTAGAATACCTCAAAATTGATGTGATGGGCTTAGGAAAAAGATTGTGCACTTTTCCTGACGCAAATTCCTATCAACCATATAGATTTTGCCTTATAGCTTCGTAATTCACTGGACTGCCGCAATCATACTCATACTGATTATTCTATAAATTGTATATTAGCATTAGAATACCTCAAAGTTGATGTGATAGGCTTAGGAAAAAGATTGTGCACTTTTCCTGATGCGAGTTCCTATCAACCATATACATTTTGCCATATAACTTCGTAATTCACTGGACTGCCGCAATCATACTCATACTGAGTATTCTACACATTGTATATTACCATTAGAATACCTCAAAGTTGATGTGATGGGCTCAGGAAAAAGATTGTGCACTTTTCCTGATGCGAGTTCCTATCAACCATATACATTTTGCCATATAACTTCGTAATTTACTGGACTGCCTCAATCATATTTATACTGAGTATTCTACACATTGTACATTACCATTAGAATACCTCAAAGTTGATGTGATGGGCTTAGGAAAAAGATTGTGCACTTTTTCCTGATACGAGTTACTATCAACCATTTACATTTTGCCTTATAGCTTCGTAATTCACTGGACTGCCTCAATCATATTTATACTGAGTATTCTACACATTGTATATTACCATTAGAATAGCTCAAAGTTGATGTGATGGGCTTGGGAAAAAAGATTATGCACTTTTTATGTTCGGAGTTTTAATTGATCGCAATATGTTAAGCCATAGCTACGTATAATGTACAGTACGGTCTCAAATATGCCTTTTGAAATACGTCAATTAATTAGTTTTAACTTGTATACACGTTTTATCAATGTATAATTGACATTATATAAATATAAAAACATCATTTCGCACCGTATTGTCATTGAATTGTGTTTCCGACATCCCTGCAAAACACGTTTGTGGCGTCCGCAGGAGTACCAACCCACATCTATTACAAACCGAAAAAGCGCCGATGAAAAGAGCCGCTAACTTCACGACGGTCTTGACTTGGCGTTTTGTTTAGAGTCGGGACTCTCTCTAGACGGGTCGAGTTCCCGCAAGGCTCAAGGGACGCTCCGTCCGCGAAGTCATAGCATAGATAAAACGTTTAATCTATGATAAAACATACTCCTCCTTGAGGAGTACGTTTCATCTACTGTATAGTCATAGTGATGGTACGTTTCCCATATTCCAGCTTTCCAATTCCAATATTACTGAAGTTTTAATGAAACTTTCCCAGTTAAAAGGGGTTAAAATTAAGTCTAAGGCTAGAAAAGTAGTCGGTAAGGTAAAGAGGGACAAGTCTTGGTACACCCCAGCTCTCCAACACCAAAAAAATGTTGTAGTTCTCCTCTTTGACTACTACAAGGAGGCAGTTGATCCAGCTTAAAGGAAAGATTTTACCGAGATTACCTTAGAGCTAAGAAGTTATATAGGTCAAGGATTAATGAAGCAAAGAAACTAGGTAATGAAAATTTCATTATGGGAGCACACAACCCATGTAAGGCTGCGTGGGAAATTATAAATAGCCATCATAGGAATCCAAATAAAAACTCGATCAATGCTGCAAGCCCAGATGAATTCAACAGTTTCATTAACTCGGTAGATGTTGTCCTAGGCCAAATTCCACAGGCTGTTGGCCGACCTGAGGATGGAATTTCCCTTCCCCCAGGTTTCAATGCAAAGATATCATCATGGAAAACTGTCAACCCTGAAGATGTTAGGAATATTTAGGAATAGTCTATTTAAAATTGTTTTTGTTGTTAAATTGTCTATTATTTATATTGTTTTTCGTGCATCATGCCTGTATAGCTGTTACGTCCTGTAAATCATGCATATTATTCATCAAAACTGTGTTGTTATCGTATTTCCTATTATCATATTTCATATTATTTATTATCATTTCATATTTGAAAATATTAATTATTGATCGCACTATAACTACTTCACTTTAAGTCACTCTTAATTTTTATCAATCTCAAATCAACTCTCTTGTATAATGGCGTTTGCCGTGCATGTAATAAATAAATAAATATTGTGAGGAAAGTAAAAAGGTCCACTAGCCAGGATTTTTATGACATGTCTTCAGTGGTTTTGAAGGAAATTGTCGACCTCATTGCTGGCCCCCTCACCCATGTTATCAGTGGCACCTTGGCAGCCAGTGTCTTCCCTGAATGTTTGAAGCTTAGTAGAGCAGTGCCTATTTTCAAAGAAGGCAACCCTGAGAAACTGAAAAATTATAGGCCTATATCCCTGGTTCCTGTGATAGGCAAGATCATCGAACACATTATCCAGAAGCAGCTGTCAGACTTTTTTGAAGATAATGGTCTAATGTTGAATAGGCGATTTGGTTTCAGGAGGGGCCATTCAACTTCAGGTGCAGTTTAGTTGAGGAAATAAAAAACAGTGTCAAGGATTTCTATTATATTGTTTGTTCCCATTTGGCCTTAGAAGAATATTTCATTCCATAATGTTATTTCAGTTCCATATTGTTCAGTCCCAATCCAATTGTTTCAATTCCATAGAGACAGACCGTCATATCTTCTCTCTCTCTCTCTCCCTCCCCCCTTCTTTCTACCGGTCAACCGGACACTCTCAACTCAACTACAGTCCACTAAACTTCTAAACTAAGTTCATCAGTAACTTTGTATTCAATTTTCATTCTAAGGCCATCAGTTGCCATTTACTTTCCCTTTTTAAAATATCAGTTTATTATTATTTTAGTTAAGCAAGCAGCAGTTTTTTGTTTTATTTATTGTTTTGGACATTCACATTATTAAATTCAGTGTTGCAAAGAACTAGGACGAAACTAGGTAACAGTGCAAGTAGTGAAAGCATCTCCCATCATCACAGGGGCGCCCCTAACTACAACTCGACTTCAAGACGTCAAAAGGTGCGTGCATCAAAATATCTAAATATTATCACTACAAAATTTGTCTTTTTATTACATTTTTAAAGTAACATATTCAAATTATCCCACATTTTTTGGTCCTTCGAGCCGGATAATTTTATCAGACTATGGACTAATTTGCCTATAATTTTGAAGACAAATACATTGTGCAATATTTATTAATTAAAAGTGTCAATTTCATATCAATTTGCTATTTAATTAAGTTGTTCAATTTACTGCTAAGCTGCTTGCAAAGACCAAACTTTTCATGTCCAAACCATTCATGTCCAAACAATCACGCATTCCATGTGCTGCTATGACGTCATTCGTCATTTCCACAATTTCATTTCTTATGTCAGCATTGTCAGCTGTCAGCCATCTTAGAAATCATGTGATGTCACTTCACTAATGCTATCTGTAGGCGATTTCCAGAACTAAGTGTATTTAGTTCATTTCTAGGCCACTAGTAGCGACCTTAACCCAATCCTATTGGTAAAATTCCACAAAATCCAATCTCCTTGTTCCATGTCCATGAGTTCATGTCTACAACCTAACCTACATGAATCAACAGCTGTGTGATGCTACATAGAGCAAATCGTCTGTTTGATGATCAAAGTCAGTGCAACTTTGAGGTTATGTTTTTGCTTACAAACTTTGTCGTATTATTTATGGACTTGTTAATGCAAATAAACTTGATGGATTATTAAGGAACAGTTTTAAAATCTACTGAGGAAGAGAAATATATTTTTATTTTGGAAATTTATGGATTTATTTAATGAAATGTTTTAATGTTGATTGATATTGCCCAAGTTAGGCTATGTGATTTTACAGCAATTATCTGTGAGTACAGTAATTTACTGAGCATATTTCGTCTTACAATATGAGGTTTACTACATTTATTAAATCTTCTGAGCTTCTTGAGATTAGAATTACGGCTATCCATAAACAAGTCAAGGCTTTATATGACTTAAGTGTGGTTGCGGAATTAACTAATCCACAGTTAAATAAATTGAGAGCACTCTTAGACACTGCTACTAAAAAACATAATGAATTTGAAAAATCTCTCAATAAACTTTTTGGCACTGTATGTGATTCTGACATCGACACTGACAAAATAAGTAAACTTCAGGAAACTATCTCAGATCTTTTTATTGACAGCAACAACTTTGCTTCCTAGCAATGTACCTCAACTTAATGAATCGACTGAGGTTGCTCAACCTAATCAGCCCTCTGTTTCACAATGCACAGTAAAACTTCCACGCATAACTCTACCTACATTTTCTGGAGATGCAGAACAATGGATTGCATTTCAAAATTTATTTGAGGAAACTGTCCACAAAAATGATTCTCTGTCAAATGTTGAAAAGTTAACATACTTGTTGTCTTGTTTGGCAAATGAGCCTCTAAACTTAGTCAAATCATTACCTGTCAATGCGGCTAACTACCTAATTGCATGGAACGCATTAGTTAAGTGATATAAGAACACTAGGCTACTTGTTAATCTTCATGTAAGCAACATTTTGGATTTACCTGTCTTACAAAAGCCCACTGCCAACCAACTAAGGGATTTTTTATCAAAATACAACGAAAACTATGAGGCATTAAAGGCCTTAGGCCATGATATCTCTAATGAAAGTGTTCTTCTGACATCTTGTATTTTGCGAAAATTCGACACCAATCTCCGTGCTGAGTTTGAGCGTAAGCGCAGTAATTATGAAGAAATCCCTAGCATTAAGGATGTTGTTTCCTTTCTAGAAAAAGAGTGCTCACAGAGGGAGGCAGCAAACATAGGCCTCTTGACTGTGTCATGTGGGTCACATGGTAAAGTCAGTTCATCTAGTCTTAGCAAAAATGCTTCATTTTCCAAAAACTCCACTAGTGGAAAAACAGCCAAGTATGTCATGCTAACAAGCAAGCCGTTCACTTCAAATTGTGTATTTTGCAATTCTGATACACACTCAATCTACAGGTGTGAAAATTTTTTGCCCTTACTCCACAAACTAGGCAAGGTTTTGTGAAATCTAAGAACCTATGTGTTAACTGTTTAAACCAGCAGCATAGACTGAGCAGCTGTGTCTCTAAACATACTTGTCGTACCTGTAAGAGACGACATCATACTTTGCTTCATTTTGGCAAAATTGAGAATAATGCTTCCCAGCAAACACGTTTAGGCCTACCTAATTCCTCTGATAGTAGTCCTTTGTCTACGAATACTATTGTCGGAAATGTGCAAAACAATTGTTCAGAATCTTCGACAACCGGGAGCACTTCAGCAAGTCTTGTCAGTGTAGCTGAAAATGGAGGTCTAGTACTCCTAGCTACAGCTCTAGTCAATGTATCCTCAATCAACGGCCAGTCATTAGTAGTGCGTGCTATACTTGACAGCGCCTCGCAAAATACTATAATCACACAGCATTGTGCTACACTTTTGCAACTACAGCGAACAAAAGCAAATGTCCCTTCTATAATGGGAATTTCTTCTGCCAAAGTAAATTCAAGAGGCATCTCTCATGTGTCACTATCCACTCTTAGTGGACATGTTTTTGCTGGTTCACATCCTGTGCTTATTCTGGACAAAATTTCAAATAATCAACCAGCCGTTCAGTTACCTAACTCTGTGAAATCCACACTTAAGGGTTACACTCTTGCTGACCCAACATTTGATTTGCCTGGTCCCATCGACCTACTCATCGGAGCGGATCTCTTCCCTCAAACTCTACTCGGATCCTCAGTCAGTCTTGGAGCTAACATGCCATATGTTCTCAACACTATTTTTGGCTATGTTGTAATAGGTACCACACCTATCTTCAAATCAGTTTCATACCCTATGGGCACTTCTACATTCTTATCTACCACTGATATCGATCTTCACTCTACTCTACAGAAGTTTTGGTCTCTCGAAGAACCACCTTCAATACCTCTTCTCTCGCCTCAAGATAAAGACTGTGAAAAACATTTCATCGAGACACATTCTCGTACTCCTAAGGGTAGATATGTATGTCGCATACCTTTCAAAGACAGTCCTTCTAAGTTAGGCGATTCATCTAACATTGCCAAACGCACTTTTCAGTCACTAGAGCGCAAATTTCAAACACAGCCAGAATTCAAGAAAAAATATTCTGAATTTATGGAGGATCATAAGTCATCTGGTCATATGAAACTAGTAGATTCAGATTTGAATCTTTCACATCCACACTGTTTCTTACCCCATCATGGAGTTTTCAAAGACGGAAAAATCAGAGTAGTTTTCAACGCTTCGGCTCCTACATCCACTGGTGTAACCTTAAATAATATTCAGCATCTAGGACCTAAACTACATAGTGAAATATCCGATATAATCTTTCGATTTCGACAGCATAAAATAGTACTACTGTGCGACATAAGACAAATGTTCAGACAAATTGAGATTCATCGTGATGATCAAGTTTTCCAGTTGATTTATTGGAGAGAGAATGAAAGTTTTCCTCTACAGATCTACCAGCTAACTACTGTTACTTATGGACTTTCCTCTTCACCGTACTTGGCTAATAGAGTTGTGAAACAGTTAATAACTGGCGAGGGTGAGAACCACCAACTTGCGGCAAAGGCCCTGAAAAATCAGATATATGTAGATGATGCTGTGTTAGGCTGTAACTCCATTGAAGAAGCATTGGAACTTCAACGGGACGTCATCAATCTCCTGCAGAAAGGCGGTTTTGAGCTCCGCAAATGGTCTTCTAACCATCCAAAACTACTCGATCATCTTCCAAAGAATTTTTGTGAAACCCCTCACATATTTCGTTCTACAGGTCAATCGTACCACAGTGTATTAGGCCTAAAATGGATTTCTGAAACAGATGAATTCTCTTATATGATCAATAAACCTTCTGAGATCATAACAAAACGGTCTGTCCTCTCTACCATAGGACAGATTTTTGACCCGATTGGAATGTTAGCCCCTATTATTTTTTGGGCTAAGACCCTAATGCAACACATATGGACGTTAGGACTCGACTGGGACACACAACTCCCTCAGCCTATAGCTGAAAAATGGTCACAGTTCATTCTAGAGCTACCAAACATAGAAACTCTCAGAATACCTCGATACTTACATTTAGCCAATTGTGTAAATATTGAACTACATGGATTTTCCGATGCAAGCGAGTGTGGTTATGCAGCTTGTGTTTATCTTAGAGCTGAAGATTCTTCTGGAAATGTCAATGTGAATCTGTTGATTGCAAAGTCAAAAGTTGCACCGTTGAAACGTGTAACAATTCCGAGATTGGAATTATGTGGTGCTCATCTGTTAGCAAAATTGTTAAATTATTGTCACGAGCAATTTTCTAGCTCTTACAAAACTTCCATGTTTGCATGGTGTGACTCCAGTATCGCCCTGTCATGGATTAAAACCCCGTCTTATCTACTCAAGCTTTTTGTTGCTAATCGTGTGGCTCAAATACAAGAACTTATACCTATTTGTACATGGAGACATGTGTCTACCAACGATAATCCTGCGGACTACGCTTCTCGCGGGTTAACCGCCTCAAGCCTACTTCATCTTGAGCAGTGGTGGTCTGGTCCCCAATGGCTCCAAGGAGACTCCTCTACCTGGCCTCAAACTTGCCATATGTTCGTCCCAGATAATGAGCTTCCTGAATTGAAAACTACAACCCTCAATCTTGTAACCACATCGGACAATGATGGATGGATTTCAAAATTTTCTTCGTGGAAAACTACACTACATGTTATGGGATATGTTTTGCGTTTTATTTCTTGTCTGAAAAGTAAACAAAGGATTACACATCCCCTTACCAGTGAAGAACTTGAGAATTCTGACAAACGAATTTGTTGGCTAATTCAAAGCTCGTCCTTTAAGGATGAAGTCGAACTGTTGCGCAAGAACAAAGTCTGTTCTGATCGCATTCAACGCTTAGCACCCTTTCTGGATTCTGAAGGAATTTTAAGAGTTGGAGGAAGATTAAAAAACTCTAACTTGCCTTTTTCGGCAAAACACCCAATAATTTTGCCAAAACGTCATCCTGTTGTACGTCATCTCATTGATTTTTACCACAAGTCTCATCTTCATGTAGGACCTCTGCAACTACAAGCAATACTACAAGAGAAGTATTGGATATTATCGGCACGAAGTGTCATCCGTTCTGTAATATTTGAGTGTATTCGCTGCTTTAAGGTTAAACCTAGAACCACCTTCCCTTTAATGGCTGACTTACCTTCAGGTCGAGTAATTCCTACTAGATGTTTCAACGTTTCTGCTGTTGACTATGCAGGTCCATTCACTGTGAAACTCTTCAAACTTCGAAAAGTACAACCCATCAAGGTATACCTCTGTTTGTTCATCTGCTTCGTCTCCAAGGCGGTACATCTTGAAGTTGTTACCGATTTGTCTACAAACACTTTCATTGCCTCACTAACAAGATTTATTTCTAGAAGAGGATTAGTCTCAGATCTCTACTCCGACTGTGGCACCAACTTCATTGGCACCAGCTCAACTCTTCGGAAAACCTTTGAAGATCTGATGAAATCACCAGAAACTCAGCAATATGCTCAAGATAACAGAATTACCTTCCACTTTAATCCACCCAAAGCACCTCATCAAGGGGGATTATGGGAACGCGCAATCAAGAGCGCTAAGTATCATCTTACTCGAGTCATAGGTGACCAAGTTTTGACTTATGAAGAGTTTATCACTTTAACAACACGTGTAGAAGCTATGTTGAACTCTAGACCAATCACTCCATTATCATCTGACCCCAATGACTTGGAACCACTCACACCAGGACATTTCCTCACTGGAGGACCATTAGTTTCTTTAATTGAACCTTATCTTCTAGACTCTACACCTGTGCAGCATTGGAGAAGAGTTCAAGCTTTCTCACAACACATCTGGCGTAGGTGGAATAGAGAGTACCTCCAAACACTTCAAGAGCGTTCCAAATGGACCAAACCTCAGAAGAACCTAAAGATAGGAGATATGGTTATTATACATGATGACAACTTACCTCCACTGTCTTGGAAAATGGGACGTATCCTCGAAGTTTCTCCTGGCTCCGACGGAACCGTGAGAGTGGTAAAGGTCAAGACTTCAGGCAGATCCTTAACCCGTCCTGCTGTTAAGGTCTCCTGCTTACCCTTACAATAACCTCAAAACCTGGCTACTGTACCCCTCTATTTCTTAATTTTTCTCAAAAAGTTGTCTTTCATTTATTTTCTGTTGAACCAGATTGGTTCAAGGGGGGGAATATGTCAAGGATTTCTATTATATTGTTTGTTCCCATTTGGCCTTAGAAGAATATTTCATTCCATAATGTTATTTCAGTTCCATATTGTTCAGTCCCAATCCAATTGTTTCAATTCCATAGAGACAGACCGTCATATCTTCTCTCTCTCTCTCTCTCCCTCCCCCCTTCTTTCTACCGGTCAACCGGACACTCTCAACTCAACTACAGTCCACTAAACTTCTAAACTAAGTTCATCAGTAACTTTGTATTCAATTTTCATTCTAAGGCCATCAGTTGCCATTTACTTTCCCTTTTTAAAATATCAGTTTATTATTATTTTAGTTAAGCAAGCAGCAGTTTTTTGTTTTATTTATTGTTTTGGACATTCACATTATTAAATTCAGTGTTGCAAAGAACTAGGACGAAACTAGGTAACAGTGCAAGTAGTGAAAGCATCTCCCATCATCACAGGGGCGCCCCTAACTACAACTCGACTTCAAGACGTCAAAAGGTGCGTGCATCAAAATATCTAAATATTATCACTACAAAATTTGTCTTTTTATTACATTTTTAAAGTAACATATTCAAATTATCCCACAAACAGCTTTGAAGCAAGGGACAGTGTTTCAATCACGCTTTGCGACTTCAGCAAAGCGTGTAGCACAGCTTATGGCTGGAAAAACTGAGTCGCTATGGTGTTGAAGGAGTTGCGCTAAAGACCATCAAATCATCTTGATAACAGATACCAGGTTGTGACAGTTGGTGGTGCCACGTCCCACGTCCTGGTCCACGCCAGGTTTGCCACGGAGTCCCTCAGGGCTCGGTCCTGGGCCCTCTTTTCTTTCTGATTGTTGTAAATGACCATCTCCAAGGCAGATCACTCCTGATGCTGGAAGACACCTCAATAATAACTAGAGCCGGGAAAGTTATGGACCGAGTTCTAATAGAGGCAGAAGTTGCACTGGATGCTGCTAAAATCTGGTTCACCAGAAATCAGCTGCAGTTGAATGAAGACAAGACCCAGAGGATGGTCTGCACTTTAAGCAAAACAAGGAATTTTGATCACCAAAGCAACGTGAAATTGCTGAGCTTCAGCCTGGACCCTAGTTTACCTGGGAACAACATATTAGTCATGTACTGTATGTGTTAAACTCTCCTGTGTGGTTTTTCTTCTATGGAAACTTATAGGGGGGGTCGTCACCGATAAATATTTAATAAATGTATATCACGCCCTATTTCAAAGCCATATTAGATATGGAATCCTGCTCTGGGGACATGCTCCTTGCTGCTGTATAAAAGTGTTACGTCTGCAGAACAAGGCAGTTGCAGTGCTGTCAGCCGCTGGTTATAGACACCACTGCATGCCCTTATTTCCCAACCTTAAGGTTATGACCATCATATCATGACACCAGGCATGCACAGAAACTTTACATTCCTCGATGCAGGTTATCAAGATCCTTGGCAGCCCATCCCGTTCGAGCCATGCGATTCTACAACATGTTACCGCCTCGGGCCCACACTGAAGACATGAAAACTTTCTCCATGCAGCTTTTTAACAAGCTCGCAAATGAGCCGCTGTACTCTTTTGAGGAAGTGTCTGGCGAGTATTTCTCGAACTTATAATATGCACCGCCATCACTAGTGGCTATTTGGAAATATTGGTTAAACAAGAATGTTATTTTTTAAATTACTTTTATTACTTTTAAATTTTATTTGACGCAGTCTATCCAACAAGTGTTGAGAAACGACATCGGAGTTGGTATAATGGTAATGGTAATGGCTTAATGGTGGACCTCCCTTTGAAGTAAGAACGTGCCTTCTCGACAAACATATGTTTTTCTCAAATAAAAGTATGGATTTAATCTACATTACGCTGATAAAATCACGGAGTTGTTTACCACAAACGAACGACCAATACGATTTTAATACTATTTAAAGATTCTTCGAAAAGATGAAGAGAAACCAGTTAACATTGTAATAATAACTCCGATGACGTACGGTATGGTAACAGCAGACGATAGACATGGTGATTGAAGATGTTGAATCACAAACCATTGTTTTCACTCTAAATCAGATGGATCATGAAGTTTCAAATGTTAAATTATTAGGCCTATACCTGGATCCAAAGTTAGAGTGGCACTGTCATATTTCTCATGTCTGTAGCCGCTTGTCTAGGGTAATTTTTCTCCTTAGAAGACTTAGAGACTCTGTACTCAAGGAATGGTTAAAAACAGCCTATGTTGCATTTTTTTCGAGTGTTCTTCTGTATGGTTTGCGTCTGGTGGGGCTCCGCATGTGGGGTCGAGAGGGTCATGCTTTTGCAAAAGAAAGCAATAAGGATTGTGACTGGTGCAGATTATCTGGACCGTTGTAAACCAATCTTTGTTGTCGAAAACTTGATGACAGTTTACAATTTATTCATTTTGCAATGTCTCATGTCATGTAAGAGGAAGCTTGGCACTCTCGAGCTCAGGACGGGGTCCACCCACTACAACACTTACCTTATGTTAGACTAAAGAAAACCCAGTCTAGTACGGAAATCTTAAGCCTGGAATTAATGAACAAATTGCCTTGTACAGTTCGAACCTGCCAATCTCTAAATTCCAAAAGAGGGTGAGAGACTATTGGATAACCCACAATACTCTATCCATGAGTTTTTTTTAACTTCCTGACAACTTGTAACTTGTAAGTATGTGTATTTTATTAGTTCTGCAAGTGTGGTTTTATTTTATTTTCTATGCATGGAGTGTTGCAGGTACAAACAATTAAATCATGTCATTGTTACAATTTTAAGTACTCTTACTTAGTATTAGTTTATTTGACTTTTTCCATACATGTGTCATGTTCAGGGAAATAAAGCATTTTCATTTCATTTATGGGAAATATTTTATTCATTGAATGATCAACCACATTTTGTAATTAAAGCAATAGGCATTATTGTTTTACACTTTATTACTAATTTAAAAAAGCTAAAGAGCGAAATGCTCAAAATTACATTCATAGAAGAATTATTAGCGTAAAGCAGGAAACCCACTATAGTCCGACGCTCTCCGACACGACACCTTCCGACGCCTTCCGCAATTTTAAGGCATTAAAAAAGGCCGCGACGTTCGAACTGGCAACGCTGCACTCACCCGCTGCCTAGGTCCGGCACTCGTGCTAGGCTATAAACATCAATGAGATTATTGCTACTCTGTATCAATGAATGAAAGTATTGAAATTACATATTTTAGTGAATTTTGGGGTATGGTAAAATATACAAATTAGAATCTAGGTTGTTTATTTAGTGAAAAATTGCAACATACCACAATATGTCTAAAACTAAAAATACAAACATAATGTTTTGTTTGCATTTATCGTATTGTAAGTACGATGAATGTGGAAATAGATGGACTTTACATATTTCCTGTGTTAATTTGATAATCTATACTATTATATAACAATCTCGTGGTGTCTGTATAAATGTGTGTTATTCAACATAGTAAAAACTACTAGAAAGACTGGGGTTAAATTTTTCAAAATATAGCTACTATAACAAGAATGGTAATACAGTAGGACTACTTATTGCCACTTCAATATTTGTAGAGTAGAGACTCTGAGATTTGTAGAGACTTTGGGATTTGTAGAGACTAGCATCTAACAATTTGTTCAAATGAAATTAATTTTAAATTTTCAATAGAAATATTATGTTTTAGTCTACCCGAGGAAACCATAAGTTAGCGACAACAAAATTTGAAGCTTTCATTTGGAAGGCATACTGACTAAATAATTTATTTTCTTTGAATATTTTATAAACGATTTCAGAATCTAAGCCTCCATATGGCTTTCCACAATATAATTAGAATTTTTTCATAATACCAACATTCAAAATTGAGCCGGAGACTATGATGTTTTTATTGTTAAATAGTGTAAAACATATTTTTTACTAGTAGGCCTACTTAACAGAAACACCGGTTTATTTCTTTGAAGTGCTAGTTATTTCAGTTATTTTTATCACACAACAACAGCTTTTATCAGTAAGATAGACAAATAAATAAGGAAATAGTACGGCATTCTCACCTAAAAATCACTTCTCGCGTCTATATTTACACGAATCAATGTCTTATTCTTACATTTTTTTACAAATCTAAGTTCATATTCGTGAAAATGTTTCACACAAAAACGAGAATTGTTTTAAGATGTCTAATTTTGACCAAAGAATAGTATGAAGACTATGTTGCTGACGCGGCGGATCGCTTATAATTTTTAGAACACTGTATGTATTGTTCATTTTTAATTGAGCTTTCGTAATTATTCTTGCATCCAGGCACTTTACATCTATCTTGGCATGCTGTAATAACAAGCTCAATGTCATTACCAATTATTAAGGGTAGTAGAAACGCGATTATGTACGTCGGTACGCGACTCCTTGTTTGACAGTTGAGTTCTTTGAATCTTTGAATCTTTGAATCTCCTTCATTCACAGTAATGGAAAGACGACCGCGCACCAAGACACGGATGCGACGTTGCCACTTTTCGCTCGCCGCGGCCATTATCCCATTGGTCCGACGGGCTCCGACAGTAGGTCTCCGACCAGAAATACACCACCACTCCAACAGTGCCAGTTGCGATGGAACATGTGATCACATACTGTTCACAAGCAGTAGTTACGGAGACAAGAGCAAATAATAAATAAGTCCATAACATTTTATGACGATCTCTGTTAGTATGAGAGATTACAATGGCCAAGGACCTTCCTAGACCCACTTTGATAATTCCGGTTACTATTACTTTAATACAGGTAAATTAGAAAAAAGTACAATACCAAACATAAACAATAATACTCCCACCGCAACAAACCTGCCGACTAAGCGAATTTCTATTTGCCTGAATTTGTTTTCAATTAAATGTATTTAATTAACATGAGTACCTAGGCTTGCTGCTACAGGGATGGTAAAAAATGTGGTTTTTAGTAAAAATATTAATAACTTTAGCCTAGTATAAATAAATAAATTTACCAAGTTTGGTCAAAATATATCCATCAGAAAGCAAACTGCAATATTTTACAATATTCTCCATAAAAATAACATGGGAATTTCAAAACAACAATTTTTTGAATTTTCTCCTAAACCAGCAATAATTGTACAAAAACATCACACACAAAGCTAGAGAGTGGAGAAATGACGGATCCGACATCCGACAAGAATGCCCCAGAGAGCAATGTTGTCGTGACGTGTCGGATCGGAAGGTGTCGTGTCGGACTAGTGGGTTAACAGTCAATTTAAAGTCATGCAAAGTAATTTTGTCGGAAGGTATCGGAGACTTGACGGAAGGTGTTGTGACGGAGAGTGTCGGACCAGTGGGTTTCCTGCTTAAACCTTGAAAGTAACCGTCGATGCAAGGCGCCACTAGTAGTGGGGCCTTGCCTTGAAGGCCTTGGTCCTTGGTCGATGTCGACGGGTTTCACATAGATAAAACCATAGATAAAACATAACAGCTGAAGACAATTTTATTGTAAGTTCATGTACGGTTTATGCAGAGGTCGTGTTTTGTTTACAATTTGTTTCCCGTTAATACAGTCATTTAAAACCTCGTTTGACCAAATAATACGATCTAATCATAAACAATAAATTGTCCCCTAGTTATTAAACCAAACAGTAAAGCACAAACCAAGAAATTAACCCTAAAATAATAGAAGCAAAATTTCGTTGACACTAGCGCCCAGTGTGGCGTACACTGAACTAGACATGAAAAACGAGCTTCAAAATTTACAATGGGATGAGAAGTCTACTTGTAGTTGGTTAGTCTATGATAAAACCATTGACTTTTTATCTCTACACTAAGTGTAGAGATATAAAGTCAATGATAAAACATAAGGGACTATGTTTGATCTATGGTTTAATTATAATAAGTTCTAGTAAATCCGCCACTCTATGCAAATTTTTTGTGGAAAAATCCTCTCCTGGGGCCCTATTTTTGAAATGGTTGACTGTTGAGTTGAGTGTCGAGTCATTCTATTTCCAATCGTTTCGTATTTTTGAAACGGTTGACGGTGGACTTAAGGTCGATTCACACACATCAGTCCAGTCACAGTTCCGTTACAGTGCAGTTGCAGTCCAGTTACAGTCCAGTCGCAGTTGCATCCGCAATTTCCCAGTCAATTGTCCGTCAGTTGGTTTCAGTCAGTCTTCCGTCTCTAATATTTACAGTAATTTACAGTCAAAAAAATTAAATTTTAAACCTATATTCTATTAAATTATCATTGTCCATCTTGTTGATTGTTACAAACAGTACTCAAAATACAAACGCAACCATTTTAACAACAATAACACTATTTTCTAACCTCAAACAGTTCCGTCAGGCGTCCGAAGAATCAAAAAGTATCGTTGGAAAGAAATCTGAAATTGACTGACGGATGCCAGCAGAGTGACTGACGGGACTGCAACGGATGAGTGTAGATAGCGCAATAGATAATCCATCAAAGAATATTTTTGATAACTGTGACGTGCCTGAAGTGACTTTACTGTGACGTGCCGTAACTGATGTGTGTGAATCGACCTTAATACAACCAAAACTACTCAACACCTATCGAGCTGTTGAATGAAGGTTGAGTGCACTTTCTTCTTCCTCTCTTTCGGCAAAAAATTACTCTTTTTGAGACGACGCCATATTGTTTTGTTATTGCTTTAATTTACTAATTGCGATTTAGAGGTTATGTATTTGTTGTCAATGTATTAGCACCCAATTATGCGATTGTTTTCTGTAGAATAATCGCATTTTAATTTTATTTACTGTGTCAATACTAGACTATTTAATCAAGGGTTTTATTCTTGTTGGAATGTTTGAAATAGACTAGGCATACTAATTGAACTTATTATAAGATAATTATTGTTATTAGACCTGTGATTTAAGGTATTAAAGATTGTGGTAGAGAGAAACAATATCATAGTTTGTTTCAATACCATTCACCTAATAAAGGGATCAAATTAATTTAAGTTACGATATGCTTTCAGTGCAATGGCAAATAGCCGCTTTAACCTAAATAAAAAACAATTAAAAATAACATAAAACAAACCGATGAAGGAAACTAAAATAAGGTGATGTGTTCCGAAATAGAGACGAAGAAAGCAAATAATAATGTATTTAGGATGAGTGTAGGACCTAAAGTAAAGTGCAGCCTATGCCTAAACTTATAATTAGCTACACCCTAAAACAAACATCCATAGTAAATTTTATTTTTTATACTTAAGTTTATTACTTTATATTTAGTTTACTTTAGTTTATTACTTAAGTTAAGGTACTTTGCAATCACTAAGATTAAGCAAGACATAACCTCAATCTCTCAAGAACGGAGTTGACAGTTTACCTCAGTGTCTCGAAATATGGCAGATTGAGATTAGCTGCCAGATTTTAGAGTAAGAAGAGGTTAAATTGAAGTCCACAAGAACTCTGCATTGTGATTGGTTCAAAATGACGTCATCTGAATTTTTGACGGTCGTATGTTCTACATTTCCACCACGAGTCTCTCAACTAGTGATTCCCAACTCGCTTCCCAACTGTTGGGTTTCAAAAATACCAAATCATGTTGTTGGTTGAGTTGAGTGCTGACAATTGACTCAACAGTCAACCATTTCAAAAATAGGGCCCCTGCTCCTCCTGGCCTAGTCCTAACTGGTACCCTTTTGTTGTGTAATTGTTTTTGTTTGTGTGTCAGTACTGTCAGTGTGTGTTGTCTGCTGTAATTTTGTTTTTTGTTACTGTCGTCAAGTCAAGCTGTCAACTCCAACCCAACTGTCACTGTCACTGTCACTGTCACTCTCACTCACTCAGTCAAGTCAAGTGCTAAAGACAAGAAGAGCTCAAACAAACTTAAACCAAACCTCCCCAAATAATCGAAAGCAACTGTGCAAGAGTTTGTTGTACAACGAAAACAATCACTGGCTAAAATGTTGTAATCATTATTTACAGCGCTTAAAATGTGGATGTTGTTCTTTTTTGTCAACCACAAAAACGATCAAGAATATTTTTCACGTATTGGGTTAAATTCTTTTTAGCCTAGTGTGATAATGTAGGATTTCGAAATAACAAATATTTTAGATCTAACCTTAAGTTTAATTAATTGGTAAGTAATAACTTATTTTTAATTTCAACTCACGAATACTAGAAAACTAAACACTAGCGTTAAAGAAAATAAATAATTTATTACACTAATGTAACAAATCAGCAATTAAGAATAGGCCTAATTCAAGGCATATTATGTCAGTTTTCGGGTACATTTCCATATCTGTTGGCACAAACAACCAAATGAGTAATATCGATTATTCGATATAAGTTATTGGTTGGTTAGTTAGGTAAGGTTAACCTAACCTAACCAACCAAAAGATATATCGAATTAAACAATCGAATCATCGATATTACTCATTCGGTTGTTTGTGCCAACAGATATGGAAGTGTAAGTTATATAGGCCTATATAACTTAGGCCTAAGCCTAAATTAAATAAATATAAGGGCTGGCCTTTTGAAGTGGACTAGCCTATTTCTGATCAATTCACAAATATCATATACTGAATAATCAGTGCTAACGATACAGGAGAGCTTCACTGCAAGACCAATTCACTAAAATTTGACTGTGGTGGGTGGGGGAAGTAGAGGGGGACTTCCCTTAACTGTTGGACATTTGGAACTGTTCTAAACCAACCAAACTTGCTGTAATATATTCAAAAATTGTTTCTTTTAAAATGGAAAAGGAAGGCCGGGCCTTAAACGTAAGCGGAAAGGAAACAGATTGGAACTTGGAACAATCACGTCATCAACAGATCCCCTATACAAGTGATTGGGTGTAATTGGGTAGGAACAGCATTCCCATCTCTTTTTTTGCAAAAATCCAAAAAGTATAGGCTTAACGGCAGTCCCGGTTTCTTCTCTCGAAACGATGTTGAGAGTGTTTCCACACTCAAAAATTCACTGCATTTACATTATACTTTACGTAAACCTTACGTTTTTACCTTACTTTACGTTTTTTGTTTATGGTCAGTAAGTACGTTCATTCACAAACAGTCAGAACATTAACTTACATTGTATTGTACTTTAAGATCAAGGCACATTTTTTTTTAACTAACTTAACTTTCAAGTTGTTATAAAATTGTTGAAATCTAAGTTAATACTTGAACCATAGAAATAAGTAGCCTCCGGCATGAGAATCCCCTTGGTGATATTTCTCATTCAAAGTTCCATTCTATCATTAGGGTAATTCACTAAGTTAACTTATTGTTTTTAAAAACAGATCAAGAAAATGCGAATTCGCCGATTGGCTGGAATTGGAGCTGTTTTCCTTCTTTTGGGATACCTGACGCTTTATTTACTTTTGGATCTATCATTTCCTTCTGAGAGTCAAAAGGTAAAATTATTAATTAACTACACTTAATTTATATACTTAAGCTATTAAGGGTATAAAATATTAAAAGAGGCAAAGTTATCACTGGTGTCTTAGCCTACTGATACTTTGATTAAAGTTTTTTTAAGCTCTTGTCTGCTTGTCTGTTGGTTCTAGATCATATAGGTAACATAACTTAATTGCCCATACATATATCTATATATTTAATACGATAGGCATATTTTTGTCATAATTGTTTTGGAGCGGTGGTGCTACCAATCACCATGTCCAAGGTGTCGTTAGAAAGGTCTTAGCATGTAGTTTTGCCATCAAACAAAAAAACTTTGGAACTCCATCAGGGCTCTGCCCCAATAGCCTTCAAAGTTCCCATGCCATTCTTAGGGAGAAATTGTTTGTTTACATTTGAACAGTTGAATATTTTGAAATTGACACTAATATTTGAAACAGCTGGTTATACTAAAAATGGAGACATTTGCTATAAGGATTAATTGGATTAGTTGAAAAGATTGATTTTTCACTGATTTAAACCAGTTTTTGTTTGCACAAAATCAAAACATAACCAAAAAACCGTTCGACATAATAAGACTATAAGACGTCGACCAGGACGATCAATAGGAGGAGGCCGACGAACTTTAACTGGTAGATGCGAACGAAATACAAATAATACTATTGTCGTTGATAGCCCAATACTATGTTAACGTTTTAAAGGTACACGTTCGGATATATACCTACAAGATTGGGAAATGGTCCATTATGAAACATAGTTTTTCACAGAACATGGAAAATTTCAAGGCGAATATGTGGAGATTTCACCTGTTGGAAGAGGAAGTATGTAGATGTGGAGAAATAAAACCACGAGTCACGTATTTATAAATAGGCCTACTGTAGTTCACTTCAGGAGACAAATAGGAGAGAACTGGAAGAAGTCTTGGATAAGAGAGCTCTAGAGATGAGAAAATAAAACATGATGAGTGACAAGGAAACAATTAAGACGTTTAGAAAAGTAGCTAAGGAAATAGGAAAACCAGGGTTACATACAAGTTTTTTTTAATTAAAAAAAGAATAAACTAAAACTAAGAAAGAAAAGGAATGAAAACTTGCCCATGAAGGGGAGAGGAAAGGTTAGAGCGAATCTTTAAATGATCGCTATCGCTCAGGGCGAAATGGGGAAGGGAGTCGTGCTGTTAGGCTTTTGGACACATAATGTGTCTGGACGAGGATTGAAAGTGGCTGAAGCCTAAAAAGAAAAAAAAAAGATTTTGATGGGGAATTGGCCTGGCAAATAAGTCTCATACTTAAGCCAACTAAGGGTGGTGGTGGGAACGAGGAGTTTGCTACAAACATTTACTGACTTGGTTGAAATTAAATATTTACTATTTGAATTTGGCACGCGTAAACATTACAATGGGAAAAAGCGAGTGACCCTGGATAATTTGATGTAGGCATACTAAAAAGAAAACTGATTTAACACTGTGCTGCATTTCTTAGTAATCATTGAAAGAGCCGATATGCAAACTATGGAAACATAGGAAAGTCATGGAACACCACCAAGGAGAAGAAATAGAAATAATGTTTTTTTAGTATTCATAATCGTTATTATGGACAACCTAATGAGTAAGGCTATTTTGTAGAAAACTCTATTTACAAAAAATGTTGATTATATTGATCTGTTATGTACATCTTGAGTATTTCAATAATCTTTGAGTTGAATATTTAAAGTCATCAGAAATTATGACTGTTATTCGTTTTAAAATGACACCTGTACTACATAGAAATTGCTCGAATTCGAGCAACAGGTACACTAGTATTTTTAAAATTTATAATTGAGGAATAAGTTAATTATTTAGGTAGGCCTAGTAAAGCTCATTCCTCTCAATGAAGAGTACCAATATTCCTCTTCCAATAACTTGTCTTTTATCTAAACTGTTATTAGATGACTTTATAGGCTTACTGGTAGACTGGACACGGGTTATGTAACTTCGTCTCGTCCTTCTTCATTATCAGCTCGATGGTCAGCTGTTCCAGATGATATTACTATGTTGAAGAGGGAGTGGGACTTGAACATTATTGTTGATGATGTATTGACGAAGTTAGCTACATACCCCGTGTCCAGTCTACCTAAAACTGCTACGCCGTGTCATGGTAGCGCTATCGTTTTGTTTCGTGTTTATATGTTCCGTGTCGTGTACTGCTGTGTAAATTTTGATGTTTTTGACGAGAAGCTCCGATGATGTTGCATTGCAACAAAATTTGTCGGCTTTGAATAATAACTGAAGTAAACGCCATTTTGGACTACTAACGGAGGTAAGCCTATAAAGTCATACATACGTAGTCCAGGGGCTATCAGAATGATTACTATGTTATTAGATCTTCCACAATTTCATGTTTCTTTAATTACTCAAAAAGCTATGGATAATGGTAGGACTACACATGTTATTTTATTGACTTTATAGGCTTACCTCTGTCAGTAGTCCAAAATTGTGTTTTCTATTTCAACTAATGTTGATCAAAGCTAACATGTTTCGTTGCACTTCAACATCGTCGGAGCTTTACGTCAAAAACATCAAATAATTTACATAAAATACAACACGGGACACGGAACATTTAAAACACGAAATAACACGATAGCGCTATCATGACACGGCATGGCAGCGGTTGTAGGTAGACTGGACACGGGTAATGTAATTTCGTCTCGTCCTTCTCTGTCTGTCCTTCACCGCTGCCGTGCCGTGTCATGATAGCGCTATCGTGTTATTTCGTGTTTTAAAGGTTCCGTGCCCCGTGTTGTATTTTATGTAAACTATTTGATGTTTTTGACGTAAAGCTCCGACGATGTTGCAGTGCAACAAAACATGTTAGCATTGATCAACATTAGTTGAAATAGATAACACAATTTTGGACTACTGACGGAGGTAAGCCTATAAAGTCATTATCCGTAGTCCAGGGGCTATCAGAATGAATAATATGTTATTTTATTGTTGCTCTAATACCTACCATAAGCAGCAATGGTTCTGGTCTTACTTAAGTGGGCTTTCTCACGAATAAGTTTAGGCTATTAGAATAGAAACGGTATGGATTATAAACATAAACAAATGTAATCACTGGCTCGAATGTATATAGATAGGCCTAATAAGAGATGTAAAATCTGGTTTGAACGTTTTGTGATAATTTAATTTAAATTAATAAAAAATATATGTATACTTTCGGGTTGGTGACGTCATTTGTAAGATTATCTTTATGATCCATACCGTTTCTGTTCAGAGATAATAACCTTGATTTTTCTGAAAACACCTCTCACCGTATGCTTTCTTGAAACTATAGCCCACAAAGATAGACTAAAACCAAAGGTATCTAAATAATGTCTGTATCACAATGTTAAACTTAACGTTCTCTTATGCCTATTGCAGTATTTTAAATTTACTAATTCTGAATTTTGAATCCGTCCAAACAGATCAATTTAGCAGGAAGTGCCCAGTGATAATTAAAAAAAAGTATATCAAACATTTCTTTTATAGGAATCAGTTCAGGTTTCTAGAAGAAAATCAAACTTCATCATCAATAATGACATAGGGTTTAATAGTAGCAATGATATTTTTTACGAGGTAAGTAAAATATAAGCAAGCATTTAAGTTTCATGTGTAGCTGGAAACTCTCGCCATTTTCTTAAGAATGTATATGGATTAAGCTTTTAACTTCATAATTTTCATTATTTGACTTTCTTCCCATTCTTGAATTTACAATGCCAGGAATTTTGCATTTTCTGGTTGTATACCTTCTTGAAAATATTAAAGTTTACCTTTTTAATGTAATTTAAATTTTCAAAATAGCATCTAACGGTATCTCAAACCAGCCAATTCCATTTATCGTTTATATATAACGAGACAAGTCTTGTTACCGTACCGTATTTCAGTTGTAAACCATGTTTAACCAAAAAATTATCTAATCATGGCAATAGCTTGTCCCCTAGTTATATAGCCTAACAAGAAAGTAATCACAAATTATAAAATTAACTCTAAAATTAATAGAAACACAATGTTGTCCACACTAGCGCCCAGTGACACGAACTTTAATTTTAGTCTATGGTTAGTCCATGATTTTACTGTCAAAGGAATGTATACATGATCTTTTTATTTTTTACTATTTTCTTTGCTATAATGTTTATAGTTTTTTTTATATATATATTTGTACCCATTTATATAAAATGTCCTGAGTTGTTTTTTTTTAAGATACACAGTAGAGTTTTTCAGATTGAAACTATATGCAGTATTGTACTGTAACAATTTACATGGACACTTAAGCTACCTAGACCATAAAGTTGACCATATGAAAACGTTCCATATGAAAAAGAAGAACACCAATATTGTGCCATAATGTGGCGATCAACCGCCATACCACGACAGGAATATTATAACAGAGTGTCTTCTGTTTTTATAGAAAATAGAGTGTTCTTTAGTTTTACATATATAAAAGGCATTGATCCTTTATGCCAGTTTTGATATAGGCCTATTTAATTTCCTGTTTGCTTAAACAATCGTTCAACTGGTCATTTAACTATTATTTAGAGATTAAAGGTAAACCAAATCTTAATAAAGTTTTTGTATAGAGAAACTAAAAATGTTATTGAGTAAGCTTACCTATAATACTATATTGTATTTTTGTTGCCCTTGTACTCTAGGCATGACCCCGGGATTGTTTTTCACATTACTTCAGTCTAGACCTAGGGGTTGCGGCATTTCACTTCAATAAAATGATCAAATCCTTTGGTGATTTAGTGCAATTTAAACCCCGGGACCTCAGAGGCCAAAATCCCGCGCTCTACTACTAGACCAGCTCGCTCCCCTGGTATAGTACTATATTAGGCCTACTGATTCCAACAAATGATTTGACTTATTCACATTAATACTCTATAGAACCAGGTAAAAATATAAATAAATCAATGTGAGTTGCTTAAAAACTTGATTCTTTGGTATGGGGCTGGATGCTTGTTACAAAAAAGAAACCTACCTAAAGGCGTGTTATAAAACCAGCTAAGTTATTTATTATTTTCTAGTTTTATTGAAGTAAGATTAAGAGTAACTGTGTGACAATTTAATTTCTTCTTTTTTAACATTTATTATTTGTTTTCAGAAAACAGCAGCAAGATTAACTCTAGACTTCCTATCCCAATCCCCATCATGTATCAATCAGCCACATTCAGATTCTCAAGTCAACATACAGGTAACCTTCTCTACACCTGATAATCTCTCATTTCATACTTAATTTAAAAATGGCAATGCGAATGTGCCATAAAACTCATCATAAACTTCAACATGTTTACATGTCCTGACCAATAAGATGTACAGTAATCTCGAGGCATTTTTAAAGTCTGTGAAATCTGCTAATAGATTGACCCTAAACAGCTAATTCCAATTCCCTAATATAGTTAAACTTAAGTTATTACCTCAAAGTTTAGCCATCAAGGATGGTATAATAGGAGCATGTTTGAAGCTAAGATAAATAGGCCTAACAGTATTTGTTTTATACAAAGACCAATTCGAATTATAGATATTTTTCGCAACTAAGTGCTATTGTAAATCTCATAGTAAGTGACAATAGTATTTAATTATAATAATGTTTGTTTGATGTCAATAGATGCTGCGAGTGTATGATGAGTTGAAGTTTGACAACATAGATGGCGGTGCATGGAAGCAGGGCTGGAACATAGTGTACAATGAGAACCAGTGGAGCCCAAACAAGAAACTCAAGGTGTATGTGGTGCCACATTCCCATAATGACCCAGGTAAAAAAAAGTCTACTGATCAGTTCTACCTCAGGAAGGTGACTCCCTCAAACCATATTGCCAAGAGCTGTTCTTCTTACCTCAGAGAGCTCCTCAGGGTTCAGTAGGTGATCAGCAGTCTGCTCTGACCTGTCACACGTCCTGCATTATGGGGCCCCATCATGCAAACGCATTCGATGCAGATGCTTTCAGAACTGCCCAGTTCCATTAATTAGTCCTATTGTCTGTCTAATTCTTTGCCTATCCAATCTCAGGATGTCCGAGGCAACCTGTTTTTAAACCACTAAAATTGTATAAATGCATTCCGAATCCATCTTTTTATTGTTGAAGCAAAGATTTTAACAACTAAAAGAAAGCATTGATATTCAGGAAATTAAGGTTTCAAAAAGCTGGATAACCATCATTCCCACTTCATAATTTCAAGATGTAGTTGACTCTGTGTATACTTGGAGGAATTGTTATGAATATTTTGTCGATACCTGCTACTGTTTATTGGGCCAGTAAATAAAGCTTCAAATCAGTTGATATTTATAAGCAAAAAGAAAGCAATTTATCTTCACAATTTCTTGGGTAATTTTCTGTATGATACACTATGTAATAACGATGTCTACTGTTCCAGTCATTTATTTTCATAACTAGTTGATCATTTTAGTCTACTTATTAATAGACAGGACAAAAGCAACAACTGGGATAGTAAAATATCGATTGGTAAACTGAATTTAGTCTGCCTCAGCAAAGTGCTGATAGCAAATAACCCATAGCGAGTACCAACTAATTTCTCTTGACTATTTTGTTAGTGGGTTATTCTCATCGCTATTTTGTGAAACATATGGTTTTACTTGTTTGTAGTAAATACATTTTTGAAGTCTGTGAATTCTCCCAATAGATTGACTCTAAACAGCTAATTCCAATTCCCTAATTCTAGTCCCATGTTATTTTTTTTATACATACTAGGCTTTTAGGAGCCATTCAATTCTGTCATATAAGCCTAAATTGATACTGATGATATTAGGAATCACAGTAAATGTTTTTACATGTTAAATATACCATTTAACGTTTATTTTAGGTTGGAAAAAAACTTTTGAGGATTATTACCAGAGCCAAACAAGGTCGATATTGAACAATATGGTGGTCAAATTAATGGAGGATCCAAGAAGAAAGTTTATTTGGGCTGAAATATCATTTTTCTCACTTTGGTGGCAGGAAATAACAGATGACATTAAAGCCAAAGTAAAAACGTAAGTATGCTGTATATAATTATCTGTATGTAATAATGTATATATACATATGATATACTTTTCATTGAAAATTATTTAAAGTATTAAAGAATACATGTATCATGTATATAATAATCCTACTGGTGATAAAGTCATCAGTACGATCCACAAATCAAAGGTGTAGGTCTAGTCCATTTCAACAACATTTCTTTTTATCACTAGAATTATTATTCTCATTTAGGCTATATAACTTTGTGAAAAGCAATGGTTGAATTGAAAGTATTCCTCATTGCAACCATCAACTTAAAAGTCTTTGATGAATAAGTTATAGCCAGTCTACCGTATACTATTACAATCGTTAATCTTATTATGGTACGTATTATAATGACCACACCTAATAATTATAACCTAACCTGCAGGTTGTTAGATTAGGAATATTTTATTCAGGGTTGTCAGCAACCGGGAATTCCGGAAAAAACAGGAATCATGCGTGAATTTTAATCGCCGTGAAAACCCCGAGAAATATGCATCAGCCCTTTGCAGTCGAATGGCGAGTATAGGTCGCCACCCGCCATTTTCCCGACTGCTCGAAAATGGCAACCTATGAGTACTAAAACAACAAAAAATAAATAAAAAATAAAAAAGTTTATTTTTGCGGTCAAATGGCGAGTATAGGTCGCCAGGTGCCATTTTTCCGACTGCTGGAATGACAAACTATTCCCACTGAAAAATGGGGGAAAAATTCAACCTCAAAGGGCTAAAATGGTATTATTTGGGGATTTTCCATGAATTTCAACTATTATCATCATTATGTTCGTTTATTTACGAGGAATTTTATAGTTCTAACAATTTCGAGCCAATTTATATGAAAAATGTTAAGTGAATGTTTATTTGACGGAAGATTCAGATTATAAATTAACCAGATTCGAGAATCGAATCTCGGGTCCGCCGACAGAATACGCTGACTCGCCACCAGCTCTATAAACATAAAGCGTGTAGCAAGGTAGCAGCAGTGTCGATTTACGCATAGCTGGAACAAAGCCAAACTCGGTCTCAAAACTCAAGGTCATGGCTTGAATTACGTACTAGTCGAATATTATTTGATTCTAAATTGTCATGGACAGATCACGTGTCATATTTAAACAAAAAGTTAAGAAAACTGATTTTTGCTTTTCGCCAACTGCACCATTTTCTTGAAATGGATGAAATTAAAAATGCATATTTTGCTTATGTACAGTCGCTGCTTGAGGGGGGGATAATTGCCTGGGGTGGTGCTTACAGCAACATTCTGCAACCTCTCGTAACACAAAAGGCAATCATAAAAGCGGAACTTGGCAAGGGTAGGCAATACTCGTCGGATGCTCTGTTCACTGAAATGAATGTACTTGATTTAACGCAACTATTCATCAGAACAGTTTCGATGTTTATTTTCAAACACCACGAGTCACTCTTTGTTCGTCCACAACATGACCATAATACTCGACATGCACTGGGCCAAGGCATACGCTTACCCAGACTTACAAAGACATTTTCTACAACTAATTGCCACTACGTTGCACACATCATTTACTCTAACCTTCCACTAGACTTACGAGACTTCGACAGACACTCAATTACAACGTACAAAAAAAACATTGTTCACTGGCTCAATCTCATTGGTAGGGATGGAGCTAATAGATTATTATTTTCCATATACAGACAATAGCTGACAGCTGGTACAGCGTGTGATTGTGTGTGCGCGCGTGAGTGTGCCTTGGTGAGTATGTGTGCGTGTGTGTGTGTGTGTGGGGGGAGGGGGGCGTTTTGGGTTGTTAATGGTAGGGGGAAGTCAATGAGTCAATCTGACTTCATTATCTATGTTCCTATGCGATTAGCCAAAATTCCGCTAGCGCTTTGAAATCATGCCAGTAATTAGAAGTTTTTTGATTTGTTTTTTAATAAGTATCAAAGTTTCTTTTTCTTTCTTATTAGGCTGCAATATAAAACGACTCACTCCCACGCATGGGTTTTCCCATGTGGGTTTAATTTCGTATACTTTAAGGTATTTAGTTATAGTTCTATTGTAATACATTATTTGTAAAAACTGTAAAACAATTATTTTATACAGAAAAAAGAAATTTTGATTTGATTTGATTTGATTAATTGTATGTTAAATAGGGATGGGCCGATAACAGAATTTCTCAATTCTATACCAGTTCTGAAATATTACTTACGATTCTTGATACCGATTCCATATAAAAACTCATATTTTTAAGGAAGTTGCCATGGTCAATGTATTGTTGTTTGTATCATCCATGTTTGAATTCTGAATCAGACAACCGACGTAGTTCATGCCGGCTCAAAATTATCGTATCCAAGTCTGATAAGTAAACGGAATCAGGGAACCGCTCTTGCTTTTTACGAAAAAAAATAGTCGTAGATTGAAAACATCCAAGTAGAGGTAGCACTGGCACAGAAACTCTGCTAGAAAATCGAGACCCTGTAAAATGGTGTTATATTGGTACCACTAGAAGGATCAACCAGCTCATTGGCTATTGGCAATACCACAATCCCCTAGATCCAAAGTACTATTCCCCTAGTGCATATTGCGGCCAGCGTCTCTCAACTCTCGCTTTCAGTGATACCACAGAAAGTTCTATTGTTTGTGGAGATACCTTCGATTGCGTTGTAGCTCTAGTTCAATGTGCAACTATTGCCGACATTGCCGGTATCAACTTAACCTTGACCATAATAAGTATTTGTCTACGTTCGCGTTGTGCGTTCGTGTAGCAAGCAATAGCGGAACTGTACTGTAGAGTGTAGACACTAGACAGACACATGACGATTTACGTGATGACAATACGGTTCCCAATCGACGCTCGACTGTGGATTGAATTGATGTTTTATTTTTGACTTTTAGTTTGGTTAATTTTTGAAAATTCATAATTTTAATTGTAAAATTATTGGTTTTTTACCGGTTTACAGTTAATCATAAGTAACTATCGGCAAATGTAACGCAAAAATGTAAAGGTAAAAACTGCTTCAATAGGCCTAAGAAAACCATTTTCTACCACCAATTTTGTTTCAAAGTACTAAATTTCTATTAATTTGTGTCATACATAAGATTTAATAGTAATAATTATTGGTTTTTACCGGTTTACAGTCCATCATAAATGAATATCGGCAAATATATATCGGAAAAATCTAACGTTTGGCAGTTCGAAACGGCTTCAGGAGGCCTAGCTCAGTAGTACAAGTTTATTCTGCAAAATGTTGAACTCATTAATGTTAATTTTTTACTTTAATTTGCAGTGTTTGTTGAGTGATATTATGAGTAAATATTAAGAGTTAATTTTCCTAAAGGGCTATACTCCACTCGAATTGAAATATGACTACCAGCCTACCCCTAGACTCATTTAAAAACATTACACCAATGTTTCTTACTATGTTGTTTACTAGATTACGTACGAGAAGACAGCTGGAGATTGTCACTGGAGGATGGGTCATTAATGATGAGGGCAATGCTCACTACTACTCCATCCTGCATCAGCTCACAGATGGCCATCAGTGAATGCAGACTCATCATTTAAACATCACACCAATGTTTCTTACTATGTTGTTTACTAGATTGCTTACGAGAAGACAGCTGGAGATTGTCACTGGAGGATGGGTCATGAATGATGAGGTCAATGCTCACTATTACTCCATCCTGCAGCAGCTCACAAATGTCCATCAGTGGATGCAGACTCATCATTTAAACATCACACCAATGTTTCTTACTATGTTGTTTACTAGATTGCTTACAAGGATACAGCTTGAGATTGTCACTGAAGGATGGGTCATGAATGATGAGGCCAATGGTCACTACTACTCCATCCTGCATTACCTCACACATGGCCATCAGTGGATGCAGACTCATCATTTAAACATCACACCAATGTTTCTTACTATGTTGTTTAGTAGATTGCTTACAAGGATACAGCTTGGGATTGTCACTGAAGGATGGGCTATGAATGATGAGGGCAATGCTCACTACTACTCCATCCTGCATCAGCTCACAAATGGCCATCAGTGGATGCAGTCTCATCATTTAAACATCACACCAATGTTTCTTACTATGTTGTTTACTAGATTGCTTACGAGAAGACAGCTGGAGATTGTCACTGGAGGATGGGTCATGAATGATGAGGTCAATGCTCACTATTACTCCATCCTGCAGCAGCTCACAAATGTCCATCAGTGGATGCAGTCTCATCATTTAAACATCACACCAATGTTTCTTACTATGTTGTTTACTAGATTGCTTACGAGAAGACAGCTGGAGATTGTCACTGGAGGATGGGTCATGAATGATGAGGCCAATGCTCACTATTACTCCATCCTGCAGCAGCTCACACATGGTCATCAGTGGATGCAGACTCATTTAAACATTACACCAAGGTTACTATTTGTTTCCGTACTTTAACAAAACAATAATTTTCCAATTTTAATGAACAATCTTTTTATTGACCGATTAAAAGCCCTATCTGATATTATTTTGACACTATATCCTTCTTGTGAAGAATTGTGTTACCGTAATTTAACTATGGGAAAATATGCATGATGCCCAATTGTTATATTCACAAGAATCTTAAATTCTGGAGGTGCGTGAGCATAACTTTTGATTGAGCAGAGCATGAGTCGGACTCTTCATCATCATTACTAAAAATTACAAGGAGAGAATAATTTTGCTATCACACTTTGCAGACTGGTTCTGCGATTGTGATGGAAAAGCTTTGGTCAAGCTTCATTTCCTTACTTGGTGCTCGTTTACTCAAGCTTTAAGACTAGGCTTGGCTCAGCTCAAAAATCAAGTAAACACTACAAGTTTTATTCAACCAATCATCTAACCTTTTGTCGGTAATAATGTGGTTAATTTGTGGTTTTAGGCCTACTACAAATAAAAGAAAATAGATTATTTATTGTTTTACAGGTTTGGTTGGGCTATAGACCCTTTTGGCCACTCTCCAACAATGCCGTACGTGTTGAAAAAAATGGGTATTGAGTCTATTCTTATTCAAAGAACACACTACTCAATAAAAAAATATTTAGCAAAAAATAAACAACTTGAATTCAGGTGGCGCCAGGTTTGGGGTTAGTATAAAAAATAATTTCTTGTTATTAATGTTTCTTCAAATATTATAAAAAACCTGATGTTGTAGTATTGAGTGAAACATGGATAGGAGAACACAAAATGTGAAATGTCAAAGTATAGCTTGCCCAGTTATTTAATGTATTTCTGATAGCATATATTGATTCAGCGAGCATTCTAACAGTCAAGGTTCTATGGTTAAAAATTAATATCGGTACAGACAAACTGGTCTTTCTATTGTTGGCATTAATGCAAAAAATGTAGATTTTTTATTGAGGAATTCAATGGATTATTTATTTACATTGGTATTTTGGATCCTTTGATTATTTGCAATATCGACACTTGATTTGGTAAAGACAATCCCCATGTTATAAAAATATCAAGGCATGGCTTATTTTTGCTTTTTGAACAACCTAGACACCATACTACTCAAATACAGGGTGTTTGAGAACTCTCTCGAAAAGATTCACAGGATTGTTCCTTGGGTTAATATAATAATATTTTACATTATAAACATGGGTCGCCGGAGCCTCGTTGTCCGGCTGTCCGTCTGTATGTGATTTTCACAAATGAGTCCATAACTTTCGAATTCCTTAAACGATTAACTTGAAACTTGGTACGTAAGTAGTGACAAGTAAGACTAATCTTTGCACAAAGTATCAGGTTTATAAGTTGTACCAATTCAAAATGGCGGCCATTTAAAATTTTCTTTCTTAAATAACTAAAAAACCATTGATTTTACAAAAAATTTACAAGAATAACTTTTTTAAGACAATTTAACTACAAATCGATTGACACCTTATTTTTTAAGATTGGACAAATATGAACTGAGATATGGCAGCTTTAGTGATACGTGACCACTAGAGGTTAGTTTCAGTGCATACCAAAGCATGCGGCTTAAGTCTGCCACAACAATGCAACAGTCTCCGTCCGCTTTGCAAGTTATTTTTAAGCGATTTTAGATTATTTCAAACAATAATAAAATATTGTTGTAAAATATTGTAGTATGGGAAACCATTAAGAAAGGGGTCAAAGAATCAGCTGAAACAGTCTTTGAAAAAAGTAAGATTATTAAAAAACCATGGTTTAACGAAGAATGCCAAAAACTTGTTCAAGAAAGAAGACAAACAAAAAAGAAAACTCTCGCAGATAACACGGCGGAGTCAAAGGCAAGATACCAACTCCTAAATAGAGAAGTAAACAAAACACTAAGAAGAGAAAAAAGAAAGTATGTAAACAACACTCTATTACGAGCAGAACAGGACTGCAACCAAAATAACTCTAAAGACTTCTACAGAAGAATTAGGTTTTTCCAAAAAGGTTTTAAACCAAATGTAATAGGCGTGAAAAATCGAAATGGAATAGTTACATGTGAGCCAACTGAAGTTTTAAAAACTTGGAAAGAGTATTTTTGTGAACTATTAAACTGCAATGAAGATGAAGCAAGGAATATTGAAGATGAAGTTTTGGCAGAGGAGGAAGAAGATCAAGGAATCGAAGAAATTCCTTGTGCTGAGCCCACAATACAAGAAATAAAGGACGTTTTAAAAACATTCAAAAATGGCAAAGCTCCTGGTGAAGATGCGATCCCAATAGAATTAATGAAAAATGGAACCGAAGAACTTTTCATCCATCTACACAAACTGATTCTACAAGTATGGAAAAGCGAGAAAATGCCAAAAGAGTGGACTGAAGCAGTAATAGTCCCACTGCACAAAAAAGGGGACAAACTAGAATGCAAAAATTATAGAGGTATATCCCTTATAAATACAACATACAAAATACTATCTAAACTTATCTTAAACAGACTCAAATGCCATGTAGAAGAAATAGTAGGAGACCACCAAGCAGGTTTTATGAAAGGGAGATCAACAACAGACCAAATATTTATTCTAAAACAAATAACCTCAAAGTATTGGGAATACAACAAAGATATATATGTAATGTTTGTTGATTTTAGCAAAGCTTACGACTCAATAAACAGACATAAACTGTGGAAGATGATGAAAAAGTATGGATTACCTAATAAAATATTCAGTTGGCAAAAATGTGTTTAAACGAATCCAAAGGGAAAGTAAAAATAGGGAAAGAATATACAGATACATTTAATATAAATACCGGAGTGAGACAAGGTGATGGTCTATCGCCATTATTATTCAATACCCAGCACTAGAAGAAGCTCTCAAGAAAACAAGAAATAGTGAAGGAGGGGCAAGACTTACTGATAAAATAAACCTTCTAGCATTCGCAGATGATGTAGCCATTGTAGCTGATAACAAAAATAATCTCAAAGTGCTAACAGAAGTACCAATTAAAGAAGCAAGAAAAGTGGGTTTACAAATAAATGAAAACAAAACCAACTACATGAAAATAAGTAGGCAAGATGACGAGGAAGACCACTTAGAAGTATTAAACTATAGGTTCCAGAAAACTAGTATCTTTAAGTATTTGGGAGTGATGATCACAAACAATAATAGAGAAGAAATAGAAATTCAGAGCAGACTCACAGCAGCAGAGAGATCATACTGGAGTTTAATAAAATTATTCAAAAGTAAACTGCTATCAAAAACCACTAAAATAAGAATGTATAAAACTATAGTGCAACCTGTATTACTATACGGGTCAGAAACTTGGTCTTTTACCAAAAAATCCCAGAAGCGCCTTATTACTTTTGAAAACAAAATTTTGAGAAGAATTTTTGGACCAGTAAAAGAAGGAAATGCATGGAGGATAAGGAAAAATAGAGAGTTAAAAGAATTATATGGTGAACCAGATATTGTGGGAATAGTTAAGAGTAGGAGGTTGAGATGGATGGGCCATATTAACCGTAGAAGTGAGAGAGAGATGGTAAAGATGGTACTCAGAGGTATACCAGAAGGAAGGAGACCATTAGGTAGACCAAGAATGCGATGGGTTGATGAGGTGACGAAGGACTTGAGAGGAATGGGAGCAGACTTGGAGCTGGCAGAGGATAGAAGAGCTTGGAGGCACATGGTTGGCGAGGCCAAAAACCACCTAGGTTTCCAATGGCCACAGGAGTAAAGAGTAAGTAATAATAAAATATTAAATAACCCTACAGCTGGGTTTTCCTAGGCGCGGAAGCGGAGAGCGGAGAGCGGAAAATGAATTAACATGGCATTCCGCTCCGCTTCTAGGAAAACAGTAACATTAAATTACCTAAGACAAGTGGAGTCCGCTCTCCGCGTTCCTCTCTCCGCTCTCCGCTTACGCGCCTAGGAAAACCCAGCTTAAACTCAAAGAAAGACTTTATTTAATAAAGTCAGTTCCTCTACCTTTTTTACGCTGAGTGTACACTTTTAAAGTGATGAATAAATAATAACATTTTCAGGTCACAATAAAATCAGCTGATTAGTTGATAAACATACGTTAACTTCACCACAGCTGATACAAAAAGTTTGAGTGTTTTGTCGTTTTGTGTTTATTTTAAAGACAGTAAAAAGGTGTGCTACTTAACTTAGCCATGGCACTAATGATAGATCTATAAGTATAAAAGAGGATGTTTGTATATATATATATATATATATTTATTTGTTTGGCAGTGATAAACTCAGACACCGCTGAACCGATTGCCACAAAACTTGGTACATACGTGTAGAATTTCATGGAATAGGTTTATACACCATCAATTTCGTGATCCGTCCAATCGGCTCCGCCCCAGTGGCTCTGGAGTTCCCATGTTAACCTTATGAGAAATAGAATTAATGAATCTTAACAGCTGTTTCAATTAAACAAGTTGGTTCTATTCTATGATGTTCAATAGCATTAAAGTTACAAGGATTACCAACAGGGTGCAGCACTATTATTTCTTTTAAATTTATGACAACAGCTAATTTGCAACCAAAAGGTGAGTGAGCGTAGCGAACGAACTTCAACCTGGAGGCAAGTTAGCGTAGCGAACGAGCTAACCTGAAGGCAAGTGAGCGTAGCGAACGAGCTAACCTAAAGGTGAGTGAGCGTAGCGAACGAGCTCCAACCTAAAGGTGAGTGAGCGTAGCGAACAAACTTCAACCAGAATGTGATTGAGCCATGCGAACGAGATCATCTTGAAAATTAAGAAGTTAAACGGGGCAAAGCCCGCGGGTTACAGCTAGTAATTTATAAAAAAGATACTTTTAGGGTTATGTAATAATTTTATGATTGTTTGAAATAATCTAAAATCGCTTAAAAATAACTTGCAAAGCGGACGGAGACTGTTGCATTGTTGTGGCAGACTTAAGCCGCATGCTTTGGTATGCACTGAAACTAACCTCTAGTGGTCACATATCACTAAAGCTGCCATATCTCAGTTCATATTTTTCCAATCTTAAAAAATAAGGTGTCAATCTATTTGTAGTTAAATTGTCTTAAAAAAGTTTTTCTTGTAAATTTTTTGTAAAATCTATGGTTTTTGAGTTATTTAAGAAAGAAAATTTTAAATGGCCGCCATTTTGAATTAGTACAACTTATGAACCTGATACTTTGTGCAAAGATTAGTCTTACTTGTCACTACTTACGTACCAAGTTTCAAGTTAATCGTTTAAGGAATTCGAAAGTTATGGACTCATTTGTGAAAATCACATACAGACGGACAGCCGGACAACGAGGCTCCGGCAACCCATGTTTATAATGTAAAATATTCTTGTATTAACCCAAGGAACAATCCTATGAATTTTTTTGAGAGAGTCCACAAACACCCTGTATAATACCAACGATAACTATCTAGAAGTATTTTTTTGCATTATGTCTAATCTACATGATCTAATCTAGTATAGGTCTAAGTGTCAGTATAAATATAAATATAAGTATAAATATGTTTCATGTTTCATGTGTTAGTTAGTAGACATATTTTTATTTACTTTCTGCCTAATAATCAACTACACATTATTTGATATTAATCGGGAATGTAAGCTATGATCATGCCAAATTTCAGCCCAATCCGCCCAGTGGTTTATGAGTGATTGAACTTCAAACACACAAACAAACAAACACACAAACTTTCACATTTATAATATTAGTAAGATTTTTAATAAGTTCAATATTTCCATTATGTTAAGTGTTTCTTTGATTTCCAATATAATAGGTCAATGTGTTTTAGCAATATGCTTAGTAATATTACTTTTTTTAGAGTTGCTTTATGTATGGTTTATTTCATGTTGTCAGTGATCCCATCTTTGAGCTTTATTAGGCCTATGTACGAATAGAACATCCAAGGGAATACCCAGGGATGGTTGTTTCATATTACTAGTGTGTAATGATTTACTTACAATTTTATCCAAGCTATTTTTTTACACAATGTGTAATATCTGTAAAAAATGAAAAAAGAAACAATAAAGATTTTCTTCTGATTCTGAGGCATAAATAATTAACTACTGCACAAATCATGTTTCAGACTATAACGGGTCTACAGACTTGTTGACACACATGATGCCCTTCTACAGCTATGATGCACCACACTCCTGTGGTCCGGATCCCAAAGTCTGTTGTCAGTTTGACTTCAAACGTCTGCCAGGCTATGGTTTCAGCTGTCCCTGGCGAGTCCCCCCACAGATCATCAATGATAGTAATGTCGCTCACAGGTATGTTGTAATGTAACATTCAATCCTAAACTTAGATTATTACTTACTAGATAACCTGTTGCTCAAAATCGAGCAAAACTGCAACTTTTAATAAAAAATAAACAACAAAAACATAGACAGCAAGACCTCAATCAAAGAGTCATTCTAAAGTCTATGACAGATTATAGAAATATGAAAAATATTATGTTGTAAAAAATCATAGAACAGCTTCCAACCTTGCTTCTCGTTGTTCGTTAGTTTCATTTGCTCAAGCTTGAGTAGTTTGTGTTCGAACAGCTTCCAACCTTGCTTCTCGTTGCTCGTTAGTTTCATTTGCTCGGGCTTGAACAGTTTGTGTTCGGACAGTTTCCAACCTTGCTTCCTGTTGCTCGTCTGTCTCAGAAGATCGACCAGCCCTTTTCCTTTTTGCCTCAGGTGTGCATCGACCGATACATTTCCTTTTAGGTGGCATATATGAATACACAAAGTCCCTAATAGAATGTAAGAAAAACCAACTAAACTCATAAAAAGTAATTGTTTCTAAACACATAAAAAACAATAGTACCAGTAGCCTAATAACGCTTGGAAAAAGTCAAAACATAACAACAAAAACAAAAAACATAACAACAAAAACAGTTTAAATAAACACATGGTTTCATTTAATTTCAACACCTTTTGGTTGCAAATTAGCTGTTGTCATAAATTTTAAAAGATAATAGTGCTGCACCCTGTTGGTACATTTTGTAACTTTTTAATGCTACAGTAGAGTCCCGCAAACTCGGCACTCGATAACCCGGCAGTCTTGATAACTCGGCCATCACCTGGCTCAGATAATTAGTGATTTTTTTAGTCCAAGTTAATCATGGACTCAAGCCAGCTTAATTCAAATTACTCGTAACTGGTACTAAGGATTTGTTGTACTATATCTGATGACTTAATACTGACTTGTAATATAAATATAAATAAAAAAGGCCGTCGAAAAGCTTAAAAACTGTATTGTTCTTATTTTTAACCCTAGTTCCCGATAACCTGGCATTTCACAAACTCGGCACCCTTTCAGTCCACATTACGCCGAGTTTGCGGGACTCTACTGTATTGAACATCACAGAATCAAATTGTTCAGTTGAACCAGCTGTTATGATTATTTAATTCCATTTAAATATGAGTACTCATAAGGTTAACATGGGAAACTCCAGAGCCACTGGGGCGGAGCCCTTTTGACGGATCTGCACCAAACTTCACACAAACCATCCTTGAATAACGCTTAATAATGCCTGAAAGTTTCATTGCAATCTGTCAAGTGGTTTCGGAGTCCATAAAGTACAAACAAACATACATTGGATTTTATATATATAGATTAACGATAAGTTTTGATTACATTGTAAAATAATTTGTTTTTATAGATCTTTGTAATTTGATTTGTATTACTTGTGGAGAAATAAAGATTTATTATTATTATTATATCACTATTTTTAAGAAGTTATTGATAAATTGCAGGTTTGAGGATTAGTTTTTAATTATCGGATTATTTCATCAGTAATATATAAAAATTGAATACTTGTGTCAGGCAATATTACAGTCAATCATAAATTTTGTTTCTTTAACTGACAATGTTTTTTCCGATAACTAAAATAGCGAACTGTGTTAGCGCTAAAACAGCATTGCTGGAGTTGGCGCAAAACACATTGGAAATTTTAGTACGAAGAGTACGACCTGAACTACCTGGAATTTTCTTTTTACTCATGAATTTTTTCTGGTTGACCTGGTGGACACCTTGTTATTGGATTTGACAAGCAGTGTCAAAGATATATCAAAATAAGATCAAAGATATATAAGACGATGACGTATACGTGACCGCGGGAGACAACGATGACATTTCCCGATTTCTGTGACCGCGAGTGATCACGATGATGTTTCCGTGACCGTTGGAGACGACAATGACGTTTCTGTGACCGCGTGAGACAATGATGATTTCCAAATGGCCGCAGGATATGTTAGTGATTTTGCTGCGATTGCACATGCGGACGATGACGTTTCTGTGACCGTGGGAGTTGGCGCAAATCACGTTGGAAATTTTAGTATGAAGAGTACGACCTGAACTGCCTGGAATTTTTTTTTACTCATGCATTTTTTCTGGTTGGCCTGGTGGACACCCTGTTATTGGATTTGACAAGCAGTGTCAAAGATATATCAATATAAGATCAAAAGTTGTGTTCTTATAAAGACAGTTAAATTTTCCTTAGACAGTTTTAAGTATTAACTTGTGGTCATTAAAATTACTATATAGCTGGAGTGCATTCGTCTTGATTCAAGCTGAGCGATGATCATGATTTCGCCAAGCTCTAGGGAGACAATTATGGTTTTGCCGCAACCGCAGGAGACACTTGCGATTTCAGGCGACTGCAGGAGACATTCATAATATCGCCTTGATTGTGGGATGTATAAACAATATTTTATAAACCGACTGTAGTGCAGCAATCAATATTTAACACTTTTACGCCGAGTCACATGTGTAGCTCTACCCCATATTTTGCTAAAGTAGTCCGTCGTATCGAAACGGCGAGTGCTCGTGTCGCATATGCTTAAATATTGACCCTCGTCCTATTCAGCTGATGGTAGCATGATAGCTCGGTTGGCTAAAGTGTTGCACTGGGGAGTGTAGCGTTGAGGTCTTTCTACATGTGCGGTTTTGAATCCCGTACATATGCAATTCATATTAAGCTTACTAATTTGTGGCTTAGCTGGTAGGAAGGCCCACTTTGAATAAATGATACAGGCTTGAGTGGAAGTTAACAGAATTAGTGAGTTTAATTAGGATTGCACACAACACCTTTTTTGCTTCTTTTTACATAGTTACAGAAGAGGAGAAGATAGATTTGTCTTTTTTGGCCTTTATTTTAATTAATGGACATAGCCTATCATGTTGAAATGCGTATTTGATAAAAAACATAAAAGTTCATTAGGCCTATCTAAAAAAATAAACAATAGAGAGATAAAAAAAGTGATGATAACAATGGGTTAATATAAAAATCTTCTTATAGTAAACCCGTTTGGCCAACCCAACCCATCTTAAAGAAAATAATATATCTGCGGGCCAGACTTTATTTATTTCAGGTTGGATCGGGTTAGGTTAACAGTTTTAGCCCTTGGGTTTTGCGTCTGGCCGAAATCGTAATGCTTTATATAATAATATATTATAATAAAGGTAAAATAAAGAGAGTAGAAATAAGTGAAGAAATATTTTTAATTATGATTTTTTGTCATTTTAGAGCTGAAATGATCTTGGACCAGTGGCGAAAGAAAGCTCAGCTGTTCTCTACAGATGTCGTAATTGCTCCATTGGGAGATGACTTCAGATATGACCACCCTACTGAGTGGGATTTACAGTTCAATAACTATCAACGACTTTTTGACTACATGAACAATGTACCCCATCTCAATGTGCAGGTACTAAACAGTAATGTAATTTCATCAGTAATCGACAAGTTTGGGTTTCAGATAATGTAGAGCTTGATTTAAATTTGATGAAGTCTCATTAAAAGAGTATTTACCTGTACAATTTAGGATACTAAAAACAGAACATAATATTTTGGTTTGGTAAACCAAAATAGTTCTTTACCAAGCCTTGATAGGTAAATAAATTTGTAAAATATCACAACCTAAAATTTGCATCTTTTAACTAACATTTTCTGTCATAAAAGTGTGAATGGATGTTATAGCCCTAAAGGTGTTATTTTATTTTATTTTGAATCATATTCCTATGATTGGCTTAATTCCAGATTCAAGATCATAAAACTACAATACAGTTTTTGGGTGAAGACACTAAAAGATACCAATAAGGAAACTACAGTTGAAACACTAAAATGTATCACTTTTTAGAATTCTCAATTTATTGTGACATTTCATACTTGATTTTACTTTTTAGGCACAGTTTGGCACTCTGTCAGACTATTTTGATGCTATTCAGAGAGAAAAACCAGTAGAGCAATATCCATCCTTGTCTGGAGACTTCTTTACCTATGCAGACAGAGATGACCATTACTGGAGTGGGTAAGCAAAAATATATTAACACTTCCGGGACGGCCTATAATATGTATCCGGACAACAAAATAAAAAATAAAAAATAGAAAATATATTTTTTACATATGTGATTTATAGAATGTTGTAAACAGTTGACCTATGCAGCACTTTTCTCTAAAATAATTTTTGTTGATTTTTTTTATTTTTATATATTTTTAAAAGATTTTTTGTTCATTTTTTTTATTTTTCTAGAAAAAAATTTATAGTACATTCTGGTTTATGAGATATAATTGAATAAACTACCGTTTTTACGAAGATTAATGTTGTTATATATAATTATCTATAACAATAGATGTCGTAATAATCGGCGGATATATGCGCCTACCGTCCACTATGTGCAAAATGATAGCGGACATATCCGCCTGTAGTCAGGGAAGGGTTAAATACCTATTCATAAATTGTATCAAGCAAAGAAATTGAAACAAGCAAAGATGCTTGGTTTGAAATAGAGAGATTTAGACAGGAGTTTCACATATTGATTTGTGGAAGGCAGTGTTTGCAGCAAAGTGAACATTTTCCCGCTATTTGTCTCAAGCCCAGTGGTAACCTTCTAGCATTCTTCTACATACTAGGAGATCATGGTTTTAAAACTCGGATTTTCTCACTTGGTTAAGTTGCCTTGAAGTGGGTAAGGTGCTGAAGTAAAGATTATTATGTTTTTTCTGAAAATGTCTTGCTTGTCTCTGCTTGTTTTATTTATCTTTATTACGAGTAAAAATAACTCCCACGTGAAAAATGGTATCCAAAGCCATAACAAGTATTCAAGATGAAATATAATTGCAGATACTACACGTCTCGGCCGTTCTACAAAAGGATGGACCGTGTGCTGCAGGACTACCTGCGTAGTGCTGACCTGGTGTCTTCAGAGGCTTGGCTGCGAGGACTGCAGCTGAGCCCAGCACTGCGGGACATGTTACACACAGCTCGCAGCAGCCTGGCACTGTTCCAACATCACGATGGCGTCACAGGCACAGCCAAGGACCATGTGGTGCAGGACTACGCCAACAAGTAATACCTTTCACAGAACCAGTACTAAAACTGATACTGTAACTAAATAAGAGAAAACTAAATGAAGAATATATATCAATCAAATCAAATCAAAATATCTTTATTCATCATCTATACATGATTGGTACATTGAATATCGTCAAAATTGCCTATATTACATTTAATATATTTGTAACATGAACTTAAAAATGCAATCAAACAAAATTAATAAGAAAAATTCTTAAAATACAGAACAGAACTTAAGTAACAGACAATGGTTTTAAGCATCAGCACTAAATAGACTAAATTAAATCAACTAAATTAACTAACCAGCACCTCTATAAAAATCCTCAAGAGAATAAATAGCCCTTTCAGTCAAGAAACTTTTTAATTTAAATTTACCATTAAAGGGATTTAAATTGTTGTTATTTTTAATATAACTTGGTATGTATGTATATCAGTTGGTTATGGAAATATTTTAGTTAAAACCCAATCAAACAAATTGAAATTTGCTTAGTCTGCAGGTTTGCTGCGGTGGGGGTATATAAACATTAATGGGTATATAAATATTAATAAATTCATATTAATATTCATATAATATATAAATATGAATGTAAATGAAATTGTTTCTAATCTTTCCTCCTAATGTGTGTTTCAGAATGTTGTTGGCAATAAAGAATTGCCAGCATGTGATTCAACTGATGGCTCACTATCTGCTCAGTCCTGCTCAGGTAAACATATGAGTGCCTTTGAAAAACTTTTGAACAGCTACTTGTCAGCGAATTTTCCATATAGGGAATAAGCTATTACCGTAGTACTTATGGTAAGACTTGGACCCGGGACCGATTTACTTTTTCGTTTTGAGGTCCCTAGAGGCCAAAAACACCATCCGTTCAAATTCACATATATGTGTGTTCGTTAGCACGATAATTTGAGCAAAAATGATACAATTTTGGTATAAACGTGTAAACTTATAATCAAACGAGTTCGCAAACCAGCGTGATCGGAATATGGGAATGGGGGTTTATGGGGGTTTTATGGGATAAAAATTGGTTTTTCCCATTTTCGACCCATAAAACATAAAATTTAGCAATTTCTTTCCAAACCATTTTGTAGAGCTTAAAAAAAAAATCTATTATATCATTAAAGTGATACAATAAAATTTTATGTAAACGGTTAAGGCCATTTACCAAATAAAAATATAGGCATATGGCATATCAAAATGAAGCTTAGAGTGTGTAGATTTGCCGAAAAGTATTGATATGGACGAACTCCCTAAGGGCTCTGCCCCACGGGCTGATTTCCAAAGGGCTACGCCTTGCATGTTTTGGAAGTTATTATTCGATTAATTTAGTGAACAACAGCTGGCCAATGTGTACGATACGTCGTCATCGTACTGTACGTTTTGGGGTCAGGGATGGGGCGTTGTAATAAATACACTTGTTACATTTTAAAAGGGCTCAGAGGGCCGCAAAGGGTATACGGTGTTGACGGGACTAATACATGGTGTGGACTGACGTGAGGAGAGGGGATTTAGGCTTGTTCGGAAAGGTGGTGTGATGGTGGCGTGATATGACGTCACGGGAAAATAGCCATGAGCTGTTTTATTAGAAATATCGCCTGATTTTGCATATTGCCAACCTAAACAGAAATTGTGGTTACATGATGGTATGAGTGTCAAACTATTGTAACATTATGGTACAAATTATCAGAATATGGTACAATCCTCCCCTCTTAAGTTTTGTGATGCTATCGGTTACTATAATCTTGAAAACTTACAATCACAAATAACAATACCAGAATATCTTATTAATTTATTATTATTTTTGTTTGCCAATCATTTAAATGAGAATGAGAATCAATCAATCATCAGTTCAATATATATATAACATGTATATATGGTCAAAATTCACACATTAAAAACACAAGTAAATGAAACACACACTTGAAATCATAAACCTTAATAGCATTAAACATTGAACCTTGATGATATTAAATAATGATAACACACATAATGGTACACACAATTCAATAAATACACATTTGAAAATCATTGATAAGGATATATAATAAATAAATCTATATACAAGTCATGTCCGGGTATTAAATTAAAGGTCTAATCTTATTACAGGTTTGCGCTCCCGTACAGGAAAGCGTCTAGTAGGCGTCTGTCTGTTTACATTTGGCGATTTGTTTACATTTGGAGGCGAAGCCAATGACCCCGCTCCCTCAATGTTTTGGTTTGCGCCAGGTGACCTAGTCAATATCGGAGTTCTCTGCCCGACTGTGCCCGGAAGAGCTCGCATACCTTCGCTACTGTTCCCTGTCAGTGTGCAGTCTGGCGAATTTTGCAATGTTGCCGGTTGTCTGTCTGGAAGCGACGTTGTCAGATCGTTTTGGGAAATTCTACTACTAAATCTGACTGCTGCCCTAGCTTAGACTGTAAAGCTATCAACTGGTCTATGTGACGCTTCCACTGAACGCCTGATTCTAGTTCAACTAAATAAGTTACAGGACCCAGTTTTTCAATAACTGTAGCCTCTATCCATCTTTCCCTTCCCCTGTAATCTTTAGCTAATACAGGTTGATTAACAAATAATCTACGAGTTGTGACACCACCATAAGTTGAAACTTGTCTGTTTTGATTACTACTAATGACATCCTTCACATTAGGTCTAATTAAGTCTAACCTTGATTTCAGAGATCTGCCTAACATTAACTCTGCTGGTGTTTGATTGGTTGTGGAATGTACTGTATTTATGTATGTAAACAAAAAATTGGATAATGCTAAGTTCAAATCAGAAGTGTCTTGTAGTGCTATTCTAAGTTTGTGTTTTACTGTTCTTACAGCATTCTCGGCTAAGCCATTAGTCTTTGGGTTGTATGGTGGAGAAAATGTGTGTTTGATTCCATTTTTTTGCAAAAATGTTTGGAACTCTGTACTTGTGAAAGGTGGTCCACTGACAATGTGATCTACTAAGCCAAATCTAGCATAACCTATTACTCTACTTAGTATAGGATCTAGTGCTGACTCTCGTTTTACTTCTACATAACTTAGAGGAAGTTCACTCTCAATTAAACACTGTAAATAGGTACCTACAATATTTACATTTAAGTCATTGTCATTGATTTCATCGTTCACAGGATTACTTACTGGTAAACGTGATAGACCATCAGCATTTCCGTTACATTCGGATTTAACATAAGAAATGTCGTACTGATAACCTGATAAAAACAATGCGTAGCGTTGGAGCCTACTAGCTGCAAATGCAGGTAAACCTTGTTTAGGTCCAAAAATAGCTACAAGCGGTTTGTGGTCTGTTTTTAACAAAAAATGGTTACCATACAAGTACTGGTTGAATTTTTTTACTCCATACACTATACTAAGAGCTTCTTTGTCAATCTGTGAATACTGCTTTTCAGTATCATTTAACACTCTACTTGTAAATGCAATAGGTCTTTCAGCACCATCTGTTTGAATTTGACTTAGAACTGCACCTATACCATAGGCACTAGCGTCACATGCTAACGTTAACTTTAACTTAGGGTCAAAATGAGCTAGTACTTGGGCTGATACTAGTTTTTGCTTAACTTCTTCAAAAGCTTTCTTACACGCTAAATTCCATACAAATTCAGTGTCTTTCCTCAATAACATATACATAGGGGTAAGTATGGTTGAGATTCTAGGTATGAAACGAGCGTAGTAGTTAACTAAGCCTAAAAATGCTTTTAATTGGGTGACATCTTTTGGTTCTGGGGCGTTTACAATGGCTTTGACCTTGTCTTGTGAAGTTTCCAACCCTCGTTTGCTGATGACAAACCCTAGATACTCTAAACTTTCACAGAAAAATGTACATTTACTTTTACTGACTGTGAAACCATTGTCTTGTAGTCGTTTACAAACTAACTTTAATTTACTAATATGTTCAGAGTCATTTTGTCCTGTTACAAGAATGTCATCTAGAAATACCGCTACACCTGGTATTCCTTGTAAGGTTTGCTCCATTGTGCGCTGAAAAATACCAGGAGCAGATGATATGCCATAACATAATCTATTGTACTCAAACAAGCCCTTATGGGTACTAATTGTACAATTCAATTCAATTCAATTTATTTATTCAATAACAACACAATGACAAAAGGGCATTATAACACTAAGCTACATAAGCCTCATAAAAGGCTTGTCCGTAGCATTTCTTGATTTAACTTAATGTCTTTTAGATGCATCTCGTTGAGTCAGCCATAATTTAATAGTTTTCCCTTCCTAAACAGTATCAAAGCCTGAACCAACAAACTTAACAACTACATACATGAGTATAAACATATAAAATTGAAACACAAAAAAAAATAGTTGAGCGAAGAAAAACTGTAACAAGATCGATACAAGTAATACTGTAATATTTTACCTAACACTACTTAACATGAGTAACAAGTATTAAAATTTTAAATATCAACAGTAACAAGTAATTAAAATGACTATAAAGATTAATCATAACATTCAATTATAATTTAGATTTTAAACAAAAAACACAGACACAAATAAGTATGCCTATAAGAATTTATTCTCTACTATTCAAATAAATAAAGATTCTTCAGCTTGACCTTTAACAATTTATAAGTTTTTACCTCTTTTAGACTTTGTGGCAGATTATTGAATAATGTTGGTACCAAATAACTCCTTGTTCGTTTTGTATACTTATTTCTAATACTAGGAACGATATAAAATTCCTTCCTGGAGTTATATCTATGTACATTTTTTGTTTTGAACTTATCTGAATAGTAATAATCAACAATCAACAAATAAGTAAACAGTTTTTCTACTGGCAGAACACCTGTCAACTGATAACACAGCATTGGAAATTCATTTACAATAGCAGAATCAAGCTTAGTGATTATCTTTAATATTCTTGTTTGTACAGTCTGCAGTTTTTGTAATTCTGATATTGAGGCATTTCCCCAAGATCTTAATCCATATCTAAGAAGTGACTCACACATAGATGCATAAATAACTTTTAATGTCTTAAATGGTAAGCAATCTCGTAAGTGGTACAGTTTTGAGGCACATGCTCGAAGTTTTTCTTTTAAATATAGTATATGAGCATCCCATTTTAAATTATGATCTACAATTATTCCTAGATATTTAAAGCTGTTGACTGCTTCCAATGCTCGACATTCACATTTTTCTTTTAAGTATGTTTTACTGTGTAGACAATGTTGTATATGTGCTATAACTGTAGGTTTTTTACAATCGTAATAGGGGGAGTGTATATGCATTATTTTAGATTTCTTACAATTTATGCTTAATCCATTGTCATGGCACCATTTTGTTATTTCTAAAAAATCTGATTGTATATCTCTGACTGCATCTTCAAAATTTTTGTTCGATGTCACCAGTACTGTATCATCAGCATACATGTATATCCGACTTTTTTGTATTATCTCTGGCATTTCATTTACATAAAGTAAGTATAAGAGTGGCCCTAATATACTCCCCTAATATACTTAGTAATGTTTTCTTCAAAATTTAGACAGTCAAAATCGGTTTTTCCCATGGTAAACTCTGCACTTTAGTGACTTTAAAATACAATGATACTAGGCCTACTTTATTTTAACCAGTTCAGACATATCATTTATTTGGATCACTTTAGAATCATCAGTTTTTCTTACCTTTACACCATTCTTAAACCAAATATATTTATATTCTAGTTCTAGTCCCATCTTCTTAGCCTTT